TGTTAGCTTGCTATTAGCATTAATGTAGCAATGTTCATTTGGCTTCTTAAAGACTTCGTAATTCAGAGAATCCAGTGACATTCCACGTAAAAATGTAAGCAGGACAAAACGTATCAGGCTTGGAACCTTTTTGTTAACGACACCGTGAGATAGTGGTGAGTTTTTTAGAAAATCCCATTCATTTTCACCATAGAGAAAAGCAGCTTAGACGTGGAGTCGCTAATATGAGCATCACACCGACTAAAGAATGACAACACGGCTTCAGGTTCAGACGTCTACGGTCACTTTTTATTCACTAAAACTATTTTAGGAAAGGGGGGGTTGTGTGTGACGACTCAGGCATGCAGTTAGCACCATGCTAATAACTAGATATGTTAGCTTCCCAGATAGCAAGAGGATAGCGGTTGGCTAGCTGAAGGCAAAGCTGGTGGCCTACTCAACCCAACACACTGGTGGTGGGTAATTAGAGTGTTAGACTAAATGTCTTTTTGGAAAATTTATCCACTCACAGTCCAGTTAACTTATTTTCATTCATTTCTGTCTTTCATTATCGTTTATCACGTTGTTTAGGAAATATTTTTAAATCAGTGTCAGGAAACATTTTCATCAAAATTATATATTGGGCCTAGTTGTTCATTTTTTTCTCTCAGATGTGTGGAATATTTGTCTGAGTTTATTTTTACAAAATAAAAGTCTGTGTGCATTTGAATCTGTTTGAGGAGATTAAAAACTAGTTAAATCTTGTAAGCAGGACTGTAGACATATATACAGACGCTTTGGCTGCTTCAGCCTGTTGCTGTGACACGTCAATGTGTCCACCATATTGGTCTGAGCCAGACTTGCCTGTAAACAAAAACAAGCAAAGCGTTTTTTTCTGGATAAAAAGCATTCGTTTACATTTCTCAACTGATTTTAATAAGACATTTTTATATTGAAGAGTTTATGATTTGCAAAGTTTTGTCTCCAGTTACTTATATCTCGATAGTTCTAGTCGCTGCTAGACGCTGAAGAGAGGAGTGTGTATCAGTATCAGGCTCACGTGAACTGAATTACTAACGAAGTGGAAAAGAACTCATCATCAAATTCACTATTGTCGAGCATGAATTTAGCTTATTTTCCTTGGTTAACACTTGTGGAGACTCTCTATATAATTGAATGTATATCGCTGCTGTTGAAACAAAACCTTGTATCTCCATTTTTGTTGCTCTTCAGTTTTTGACATCATTTGAAAATGTCTGTTGCCCTTTACATTGTGTGTACATTTCATGATGAATGGACCAAAAGAAACAGCCTAAAATTACTTGGAAAACATCTGGTTCCATTGACTTACATTAAAAGTAAAGTATGTTTTTTTCCTTCTCCTGTAAAGTTACCAATTTGGAGATAAGAGGTTGTTTTCTGACAGCAGCGATATGAAATGTATAGAAAGTGTTTTATATTGTGTAAATGACTTTTCTGTCAATTTTCACAATATATCAGTCACTCAGCTGACATGAGTAGCTTGTCATAGAAATCAGTTTGGAGAAAAACACTAATATCAATGGAGTTGCTGAATTATAAAGTCTCAGTTTTCATAGCTAGTTAGCATTATTGCTAACATTAGCTATTAATAGTCTGACTCTGTTGGCTAGTTAGCTCCCCAGCTAGCAGGGGACGTTCCCACAACTTTGGCTATTGTTACCTACAAGTTCTAATAATGTTTAAAGAAAACCTTTTAATCTAATGTTCAAAAAAACATTTTAAGGATGTTTAGCATTTCAAATAATGTTCCTATAAGGTTACATGTTAACTAAGACATTTTAGCATCTTAACTGCAACATTCACACAATGTTTTAAGGATGTTGTCAGGGCCACAGATTATGTTATAATATTGATCCGGAGGCCAATGCAGCGTACGCGTATACGTCTATGTGCAGGACAGTAATCTGGGTCAGCAGTCAGTGGTGTGCTGACCTTATCGAGCCAACAGACTGATATATGCTTGCTTTGGGTTCCATTACTTGTTAGTGAAATTAGCCTGGTAGTTCCAAAGAAGCAAACTTCAGACACCGACCATGTCTTGGCTGATCGCCCGCAGATGAGGTAAGAGGGGAAAAATGTTTTTCACCCAACTATTCCTTTATGTAATGAAATATCCTGTGAAATATGGTATAAATAAGCGGCAGGACTGAGAATGAAACTGTCATCTAGCAGAAATGGCCCTGAGAGCCCCTGAGAGCCCCTGCAGGTGACAGGTGATGTAACACCTGTGCAGGCAAAAGATTTTGGCAGAGCTGCTGATGCTCTGAGCTGTAATGCTACACTGCTGAGGTGCACAGCTAAGCCCAGGTAACCGGTACGGCTGATTTACCTGAGGGGACAGGTGGGCAGGACAGGTGTGTCAGTCTCTCTGACTGAACTCTCGCAGCACAAAACAATAACAGTGATAAAAAAATGCTACTTGTCAAGCTTCACCGCTTGAAGGCAGCATGTGGGGGTGATGTATAAGTTATTATACAGGCCAAAGTTGATTCAGAGTGTTTTGGTATGAAAAGGTTCACCAAAACCACCAGTGAACCTACACGTCTTCTGAGTTTTATATGGAATATTGATGATGGGAAAATAGTAGAAAATCTGAAATAATATTTTTTTATTTTTTTGCCTCATAACAACCTGCATGTCATGTATCCCTCCATCATGAATTGATTTTAAGGCCACAATGTTCTCAAAACCTTCATAAAACAATGTCTCAGACATCAGGGAGTGAATTCATAACCATTTCATGTAATAACTTTCTGTGAGGGAGCTTTTAGAGGTGGACGTCTGGTTCCTATCACCACCACTGTGAACAATTCTGACTCTGTAAGTTTCTCTAGAACAGGGCATTTCACACCAAACCACTCTGAATTTTCTTTGTTTACATATTAACCCCTTAATTATTCTTAATACATATGCATAAACTTTTAAACAATTGGTGAAAAATCACCTTTAACCCTTAAAAGTCTGGAGTTATTCATGTTTTAATAGAATAATGTACATAATTAGCTATACAATGAATTGCATTGACATTTAATTTATAATTTGTAAATATGTAAATATTTACTTTGGTACATAATTTGTTTTTTATTTGTTTTAAGGCAAAAAAATAGAGCAAAGATGAAAGGTTTGGTCTTTCAGGAGGCAGTTTTGGTGTCTACCATGTTTTCCAGGTTGTTAAGAGTCCCATTTTCTCTGAACTCTCTCATTTTTTGAACTCCACTTTGGGAAATTCCAGTTTGAGTTGAATGAGACTCTGTGAAGGACAGCAAATAAGAACAGAGCTCATTTACATATCTCAGTCTTAAAGGCACAGTAACAAAAACAGCCACACAAACGTCATGAGTACAGCTCAGTGCAACACAGGCCTTTAAACCATAATTTGACAAATACACATAGTTATGTTATGTATATTATTTTATTTAATCTTATTTCTGATGTAGATAATGCATTGAGACTTCTCAAAGGTTGCAGGTTTATCCTTAAATCTCAAGACCAAATGATCTTTGTTTTTGTCTCAACCATTGAATTATGCTTAAAATTTTGAAAAATAGGTGGAGAATCTCCTTTAAGTCTTATAAGTCTGGAGCTCTTTGTGTTTTGATAGAATTATTTACATAATTAGCAATTGCAGATGTCTATCTGTTTGCTTCTTTCAGCAAATTCTCATCATGATAAAATGTCTCCTCTACTGAGAGACAATGATGTGATCTGGATCGAGAGATTACGATCTGCACTTTCCACACAATCTCAGTCACCTGCAAATTACAACTGATCCCCAGTCACCAGTAGTTAATGATCAGGTTTAGTAAGCAGGAAAATCTCCAACTTGAACTGGACTTCAGAGTAAGAGGCTGAATAAAGCATAAAGTTGAGTAAACAGGTTTTATATTGTTAAATCGTGGCTGTTGTTTCTGGCCGTGGTGGAGATTTGGCCTGTTGGATCTTGTAGAACTAACCTGCACAACCAGGTCTTCACCGCCAGCGCCATGATAGGAGATTAGAACTGGGCGGCAAACAGAAACCAACGAATTTCAGCTCCACTCACACCTCTCAGTCAGGTGAGCTCTAATTTATATATATTACGCTCACCGCTATGAAGGGGGACAGGCGTGGTGCCGTGTTTGTCCACCTGTTTTCGGCCGCAGCCACGCCGTGCATAAGCGAAACTTCACTCTCTCTAGCAGCCCATTCTTTACCCAGTACAATACATGCTGGAGAACACATAACATAAACTAACGTGCCAAAACATTTATTGAACATGCTACAATATGATGTCAATCAAATGAGGGGGGTCAATAAAGAGGGTCGATAAAGAGGGTCAATAAAGGGGACACAGCCACACTGATCACTGAAAAAGCACAAGTTCAATTCAATTCAGAAAGATTGGCAAAACATAGAGAAGCAGGATTAATATCTAAATTTACAGGCTCCAGAAAAAATAGCCAATTAGCAGCTTGAGAGACGCTAACAGAGATGATAACACTAACGTGCTAAATGCTGTTAAGGTAAATAATAAGAGTAATAGTAAGTATATCTATACATCTCTGTTCCTTTCACTCTATGGTCATTACTTTATCTTGAAAATTAGCTACATATATAAAGTTGCCTTGGTTAATAACTGTAGTAATAATAACTGTAATAAAAATTGGGGAGCTTTTGTATTGTTTTTGTTACTCGTTATTTAATTAAAAGTTCCATTAAAAGTAATCATTTATATTATTACATTATTTTAATATCAATTTATTTTGAATGAACAAGCTCAAAAACAGCATAAAATACAGCATACATAGCGAATATATTCAAAAATATTATTAGCATAACAAAACAACAACAACAACAATAATAATAATAATAATAATAATAATAATGGTGTTTTTTTATTGTTTATTATTTAGCTGATCAGGCTCGCTGCTGCCCCCCTTCGCACAGGAGGAGAAAAGCACACACGCGCGCGCACACCCAGTCAGAACGGTAAAGTGAGCTGAGCAGCGCGCGCACTGCTTTCTCTCCCCACACACTCTCACTAACTCTCTCTCGCTCAGTCGGTGTGTGCTCGCGGACCGAGGCGCGTGCTGGCGGATATGGCTTCGTTCTCGCTGCAGCCGCCTGGTCGTCGCTCTTTCGCGGACCTGAAGGAGTTTTTTTTCCGACTGACGGACTAACTGAGGACTCAGCCGCGCGTGGGACCCGCTCCGTTTCGGTTTTTGTGTTGTGTGTGTTTGTCGCTGTGTCTCGCGCGGCCATGCCGGAGAAACTGAGCGTCTGTGACTTCGTGTGTTTGACCAGCGAAGATCTGCAGAACCCGAACAATTCAGACTTCCAGAGCAGAGTCGGAGACTGCAGGAGCACCGTGAGCGCTCTGGAGGAGGTGAGAGGGAGAGAGAGAGAGAGAGCATAAAGAAATAAAGATAGAAAAAAGAAAGGGAAAGATAGAGTATTGAGAGAGAAAGCGAGAGAATGTCAGAAAGAGGGAGAAGGAAAAGGAGAGAGAGGGAAAGAGAAAGAGTTATAAACAAAGAAAGAGAAAGAGTATAGAGAGAGACAGTGAGACAGAAAAGGAGAAATAGAAAGTAGAGAGAAAGGAAGAGAGAGAAAAAAGAAAGAGAAAGAGTACAGAGAGAGAGAGAGAGACAGAAAGAACAGTGAGAGAGAACAAGATAACCTAGAAAAGGAGAGACAGAACAGAAAGAAATAAAGAGAAAGAGAGATAGAAAAAGAAAGAGAATATAGAGAGAGCCAGCGAGAGAGTGACAGAAAGAGAGAAAGAACGTTTTAAAAATTAAAAAAAATTAAGAGAGGGGAAGAGAAGAGGGAGAGAGAGAAAAGAAAAAGTGAGAGAGTGAAGAATGAGAGAGAGAGAGAATGTGGTGTGTGTACTGTATACTGGTGTAAATGTCTGTGTGAACTGTGGTGAGGAGGTTACCTGTGTGGAGACTCACCTGAGGAAGCGGGAAGGTGTTTTGTTACTCTTACAGCAGGAAGTTGTTTCTTCTGGGGATTTTGTTGGTCATTTTGAAGTTAATGATTTAAAGACAGTGAGTTCAGTATTCAAATGAAGCCTGGAGATGTAGGTGAGAACTGGAGTTTACCTGCACACAGACTCACCTGTACAGCAGTGTCCTCCAACCGTCCTGCACAGTTCAGTTCCAAACTGCGTCTAACATGCTGCCCCAACCTTACCTACAGTAATGCATCTGATCCAGCCAATCAGGGGCTTCTGAAAGAGTTAATAAGCTGGTCCAGGTGTACAGTTGAAAATACCCTCTGCAGGAAGGTAGATCTCCAGGACCAGGTTTAGTGACCACTGGTGTACACACACTCACCTGTACAGAGTCTCATCGGTAACCAGACTCACCTGTACAGAGACTCACCTGTACACAGACTAAATTATACATAGTCTTACCTGTTCTCAGGCTCACCTGTGTAGAGTCTTACCTGTACACAGACTCACCTGTATAAAACCTCACTTGTACACAGACTCACGTGTACAGAGTCTCACCTGTACACTGACTAAATTATAGTCTTACCTGTATGCAGACTCACCTGTACAGAACCTCACCTACACAGATTCACCTGTAGCGAGTCTCACTTGTACAAAGACTCACTTGAACAGAGTCTCACCTGTACACAGACTGACCTGTAAAGAGTTTCACCTGTACACAGTTTTACCTGTACACAGACTCATCTGTACAGAACCTCACCTGTACAGTGTCCTACCTGTACAGAGTTTTACCTGTACACAGACTCACCTGTTCAGAACCTCACCTGTACAGTGTCCTACCTGTACAGAGTTTTACCTGTACACAGACTCACCTGTACAGAGTCTCACCTGTATAGGGTTTCAGGTGTACAGAGGCTCACCTGTACAGAGACTCACCTGGATTACAGAGTTAGGGTTGGGTGAGGTGAAGCACAGCAGCAATTAAATACACTCATACAGAAGACCAAAAAAGCACACACACACACACGCGATACACACAGATACACACAGGTTGGTCCTTGTGTGTGTGTGTGTGTGTGTGTGTGTGTAACTGTATTCTTAAGCTGAACTGATCCTCTGTTTGTACATCTGATCTCTGGCAGCACGAGCCAAGAATCCTGAAGGGCCTCCTGTGAGTGTGTGTGTGTGTGTGTGTGTGTGTGTGTGTGTATGTGTGTGTGTGTGTGTATGTGTGTGTACATTTTCTGGACAAAAACACTGCTGACTTTGTAGAGTTCCATGTTCCATTTCTAAAGCTGAAAGATCCAAACCATTTATAGTCAAAACAGCCATTACATACTTTACTTCATTTTTCAGCATCAAAATCATATTTAACAGAAATAGACTCACTTTCACTTTCTCAAAGAAATCTGCAGACATGCCTCCAAAATTCATTCTTAGAAGTTGGTTGATGATTTTCTGCAGTAATCGAACACATTCAGTGGTGTTGAGGTCTGGACTCGGGGGTGGTCAGTCCATTGTTCAGCTTCGTTGTTTGATGTGTCTCCTTTTCTCAGTGAGGTTCTTCTTAAACAGCTACACATCCTTTCAGACCCATAGCGCTGAGTCGTCTTCTCACAGTGGAAGGATGGACAGAAACACCTGTGGATGTTTTCAGATCTGGAGCAGCTTGATTTTCTCCTCTCTCTCAAAGATGAAAGCTTTAAGTGCTGTTTATCTGATGGGGGCAGTGTTGGTGTCTACCAGGTCTTCCAGGTGGTTGTTAGGAGTCTCATTTTCTCTCTAACTTTTTGCTGACTTCTAAACAGTTATGTAGGTTCTCGTATGTATGTAAATAACACTTTTTGGCTGTATGTATGACTTTCTGTCCGGACACAGTATAAAAACAAACCTGCGTGTTTGTTTAAAAAAGAGAAAGAGAAGAAACCTGGCTGGGCTTTTAAGGAGATCTGTGTTTACACCTGATGATTATAGACTGTGTACGTGTGTGTGAAGGTCAGTGTGTAGCCTGAAGGTGTGTTTGGGTTAAAGAGCCAGAGTTTGTTTTTTGTTTAAAGGGCCCATATCCCTTATTTTCTTTTGATATTTTTCCTCGATGTTTGTGTGGATTTATAATATATTGAAAGTGCAGTGCTGAGTCTGAGGGCCCATCGCTCCAAATCAGTTGACCAGTAGACACTGAAAGTCTACTTGTGCCAAAATCAGAAGTAAAAGAAACACTGCTGCGCAAAATCTGTAAATTGGAAAAAATAAATAGCAACAACTAGCAAGATGATTGTGACCAAATTGGTTTTATTTAATTCTCATTATTTGTATTTATAGCATATTTATAAAATTATATGTCAGTGCTGTTGAAGCAAATCCTCATGTTTTAATTTTTGTTATTTTTTAATATTTGCATTATTTAAAAACTCCAGTTGCCTTTATTTTGTGTTAGAATTTCATGATCAATGGAGTGACAGAAATCGTCCAAAATTATTTGGGGAAAAAAGTCTGGTCACATTTATTTCCTTTACAGGTTAAGAATGTTTTCCCTTGTCCTGTAAAGTTACAATTTTGGAGATGCAAAGTTTTGTTCCAGCAGCAACATTACATTTTCATACTTAATATTTTGCTTGTGAACTTTTATTTATTTTACTTTTAGCACAAATTTAAGCCCATGTGCCTTTAAGAGCGAAATATGTAATTAAGCTCTGTTTTGATTGGCTGCCTGCTTCAAAAAGCAGTCCAGGCTGAAACACGCCTTATAACTTCAGCATGAGTGAGCGGTTAAATAGCAAAGCACAGCCACTAAACGTCAGGCTCAAGCGCTCATTTGCAGCTAGTAAGCTGGCTAACTTTTCAGAAACAAACAGTGACACCACAAAAGTAAAGACTCTCTTTTTGTATTTATTCATAGCCAGAAGAAATATATAAAAATTTGTGCTTAAACGCTGCTAAAATTAGCTTTTCATGCTATGTGATGAGACTTAGCGCTCAGCGGAGCCAGTAACACTATTGGCCGAAGATGCTAATTCATGTGTCAAAGCTCACCAAGATTTAACTCTACACAAAATCACTCTTTTCTATTGAAAATAATGTGTTCGCTTATGAAATTCCGCTAACAAACACTAGTGTGGCTGGTCCTTGAGGCTGTGTGGAGGTGTTCAGTATCTCGAAAAGCCATGATTATGTAGTTTCTGACTCACTGTTATCTATAAACATGGGCCCAATCCCATTTTCTTATTTTTACCCCTACCCCTTGTTTTCCAGTGTCTCTTTGCCTCTTGGAACTGAGTTGCAAGGGGTAGTGGTTGAAATCATCCTCTACGAAATGGGACCCTCAAATAAAAAGAACATCAGTACTTCATTATCAGGCTACTAGCGCTGCTCTGTAGGTGACCCTGCCAGTCTGCAGTGATAGCAGACGAGGGTAAAGTTCAGCAACCTCACTGCTGGGCTTTAGTTACATTTAGAGCATCACATGCCTTCAAAGAGGGGCAATTATTTATTATCGTGTCTCTGAAAAACCTCTGTTTGGAGGGCCATGTAGCCCAACACTTCACCCTACCCTAGATATAAAGAAAGGTTTATTATTTTTGTTGATTATGACGGCACTAATCCGAAAGCCCGGTGAGTTGACTGAGGTTTGGCTGTTTCAGATTAATCACAAATACCCTCAAAAAGAGAAATCGAGACCAAAGGCAGTGTATTTTCAGTAAAAATCTGGGCTCTGTATTTATAAACAGGTGAGCCTTGGGGTTGAAAATGTTGAGAACCCCTGGACTAAAGTATGCTAGCGTAGCTAAAAACACTAGCAGCCATCTTGAAGGCCGAATTGTGTCTTATTTAAATGCACCGCAGTAACTCTGACCCTTTTACTGATTAGTGACGGCTGTGATAAAGGCAGATAAGGCTGTTTAGAAGAAGAGAGAGAAAGCAAGAGAGAAAGAGAGAGAGACGCTCCAAGGTTAGCGCTGCGGGCTGTAAACAGAGCATGTGTGCAGACTGAAATTACAGCCTGATTAATGGAGAGAGTCTTGAACAGCCGTCTGTCTGTAGCTCAGCGCCAACTGTCCTGATCTGTTCACTTTCCAGTTCAGCTTAACTCTCTTAACCTTGAGTCTTTGTGCCAGTAAAGGGGAATTCCACTGATATTTCAAAATTTCTGCCTAATTCAGTGGTCAAGAGTGATTCAGAGTGGTTTGGTGTGAAATGGTTCAGATTTCTTTACAGTGGTGGTGATAGGAACCAGGGGTCACCATGACTACAACACAAATATAGACATTTTATTTACTATCCAGAACCACCAGTGAACCTACACGTGTCTTCTGAGTTTTATATGGAAAGTTGATGATGGAAAATATTCATGAATCTGGAATAATATGTTTTCTTTGGGGACTATTTTGCCTCACATCACCCTGCATGTTGTGTATCCCTCCACCATGAATGGACTTTAAAGCCAAAATCTTCTCAAAACTATCATAAAACAGTATCTCAGACATCAGGCAATGTATTCATAACTTTCTGTGAGGGAGCTTTTAGAGGTGGACGTCTGGTTCCTATCACCACCACTGTGAACAATTCTGACTCTGTAGGTTTCTCTAGAATTGGCCTTTTTGGGTTTGAGGTTAAGGTTCAGTTCAGGTTTTTAGTAGAGGGAATTGTTCTGTTTAAACCTGTGAGTTCTATATAGAACCATTTTGTTCTTAAATGGTTATTTGCTGGTGAAATCATTCTTCAGATTTATGGAAAATGTGCTGTATATGGTTCTATATGGAACCTTTTTGAAATGGGGGCTATATAGCACTAAAAAGGCTTGATTTATTGTTACAACACTCTTAAAAAGATGGTTCTTCAGGGGTTTTTTTAATAAAGAAAATGGTTCTATATAGAACTGTGAACACTCAAAGAACCCTTTGCTTGATTAAAGGGTTCTTTGCATCATAAAAGTGTTCCTCAGATTGATGGTGAATGTGTTGCATAGGGTTCTGTATAGCTCCAAAAAGGGTTCTGCTATTGTTACAGTGTCAAGCTTGTTATAATAGCAGAACCATTTTTGGTGCTGTATGGAACCATTTCCCAAAAGAACCATATACAACACATTCTCCATTAATCTGAAGAACTGTTTCACCATGCAGGGAACAATTTAAGCATGAAATGGTTCTATATAGAGCTCATGGTTCTAAATAGAACCACTCCATTTACTAAAGAACCCTTGAAGAACCTTTTTTTAATGGTGTGTACCTCAAACTGGAACTGTGTTTAATTTGTAAGATCTTTAAGATGAGTTGACCTTGACTTGAGTTGACTGCTCATAGATGATAAGCAGACACGTGTTTGGCTTCGATTCTCTGGAAGTGAATCTGCGTCAGACTGTTCTGTTTACACATACACACACACACACACACACACACACACACACACACACACACACTCACACACTCTCTCACTTTCCTCTCACACACATTTATGCGTGTAGGAAAATGTATATATTCTTAACACAGTGATTTTTCTGAAATGAAGGGTATTAATAGTGAGGTTGTCCTCCTTTGCTGCAGTAACCGCCTCTACTCTTCTGGGAAGGCTTTACACTAGATGTTGAACATTGCTGTGAGGATTTGATTGAGCATTAGTGAGGTCAGGTACTGATGTTGGATCCCAAAGGTATTGGATGGAGCTCCATCACTCCAGAGAACGCAGCTCCACTGCTCGACAGCCCAGTGGGTCTCTGAAGCCGTGTTGTCATTCTGTAGTCTGCATCATGCCCATATTAGGAAATCCAGGCCTGAGCAGGTTTTGTCTAAGGGAAAAATGAATGAATTTTTCAGAATTAGCCGCTATTGTGTGAACAAAAAAGTTGCGAACCTGATATGTTTTGGTTTGTTTACATTTTCCCCCAAATGTCACTCTGAATTACAAGGTCATTATGGAGTCGCAGTCTTTTGTTACATGCAAGCTTACAGTGCTGAAAATGTTGAAAACATCTAGAAGCACAAATTAGAGCCGTTGGATAGATCATTGTTTCCACTAGGATATTTTCAGCAGCAGTGGCATGCCAGACCCCCACCCCCCTTCCCCCCACAACTGCCACAATCTGAGTACTTTGTTTGTTTTAATATTTTTTTAAGTGTGGGTCCACAGTGCAAACTAATTCGACTGAATGGTCTGTTTATAGACCAAATATATATTGTTAAAGATTTTTTACTGTAGTTTTCTGATGTTCGGTAGTTTGTTGAATGTTAAGCTCTATTTGTGTCAGACCTTCCCTTCAAGATGGTGGAATTCACTACACCCATGTCTATAACCTCAGTATGTGTTTGGGTGTGTGTGTGTGTGTGTTTGGGTGTCTGAGGGTGTTTGTTTACCTGACTGACATTACTGTTGAGTCATCAGAGTCACCTGTCAGCAGTCGGTGTGTTTGTAGAAGAAGAAAAAAATGTGGAATTAAAAGTGAAACCTTTCAGTGTTACACTGCACAGCCTGTAATAACGCGTGTGTGTGTGCGTGCGTGTGTGCGTGTGTGCGTGCGTGCGTGTGTGTGTGTGTGTGTGTGCGCGTAGTCTCTGGAGCAGGATCTGAGTTGTCTGCAGAGGATGAGGAAGATGGTGAAGAGCATCCACAGCACCGGACTCAGTAAGTGTTACACGTTAACACACTGTCATGCAAATTCTATGGCCGCTTTATCAGAAACACCTACCTTGTGCTTTCACTAACTGGCCACTTTATTAGAAACACCTACCTTGTGCTTCCACTAACTGACCACTTTATTAGATATACCTACCTTGTGCTTCTACTAACTGACCACTTTATTAGAAACACCAACCTTGTGCTTTCATTAACTGGCCACTTTATTAGAAACACCAACCTTGTGCTTTCATTAACTGGCCACTTTATTAGAAACACCAACCTTGTGCTTTCATTAACTGGCCACTTTATTAGAAACACCAACCTTGTGCTTTCATTAACTGGCCACTTTGTTAGAAACACCTACCTTGTGCTTCCACTCACTGGCCACTTTATTAGAAACATCTACCTTGTGCTTCCACTCATTGGCAAGTTTATTAGAAACACCTACCTTGTGCCTCCTTTAACTGGCCAGTTTATTAGAAACACCTACCTTGTGCTTCCACTCACTGGCCACTTTATTAGAAACACCTACCTTGTGCTTACACTAACTGGCCAGTTTATTAGAAACACCAGTCTTGTGCTTCCACTCACTGGCCACTTTATTAGAAACACTTACCTAACAATAAAAGAAAAAGACTTAACACGGTCAGTATCACAGATCTGAATAGTGACTGAGGAATAGTGCAGGATGTTTGATATTTCTTTTGCATTTAAACTGTCATAACTTTCCTTTGTTTACATTTTCCAAAAAATATCTGTTGTTTCCAAGTTTAAATGAGAAATCTCAGATTTTCAGTGTGGACTTTTAGATCCCACTGTAAACCATCATATGAATGAATGAGTGATTTACACAGTACTGTGCAAAAGTTTTAGGTAAACGTGCTCTTTAAACTAACTCACAAAAATCGGCTTACTTTTTTCTGTAGTTACGTTTATTTATATTTACTAAAAAAAGAATATATATATATATATATATATATATATATATATGTGTGTGTGTGTGTGTGTGTGTTTTACTGGCAAACATTTTTTATAATAAATATATTTCATAATTTTATCTATGCATTTATTTGCCAGTAAAAATGTTTCAGAATGTCCTGTTTACACAGTGCTGTGTTATTGTGGAGGACAGAGCTGATTCTTGCTGTTCAGATTCATCTGAGTCAGAAACATAGAGTTAAACAACACAACCCACATCACCCCCCCCCCGTCTGTCTCAGTCACTCTCTCCCTCAATTTCTTCCCTCTCTCTCTCTCTCTCTCTCTCTCTCTCTCTTTCTCTCTCTAATGAGTATCAGATGCTTTATTCCAGTAAATCCACAGTGAGGCCCCATTTTCCAGCTCCTGCTTTTTTTTGTCTCTCTCTCTCTCTCTTTCTGTCTGTCTCTCTCCCTCTCTCTTTCTTTTCTCAATTTCTATCTTTCTCTCCCTTCTCTTTCTTTCTCTCTCACTCTATCCCCGTCTTTCCCTCTGTCTGATGAAGTCTCTCTCTCTCTCTCTCTCTCTCTCTCACTCTCTCTCTCACTCTCTCTCTCTTTCTCTCTCTCTCTCTCTCTCTCTCTCTCTCTGTCTGTAAGTCATCACTCACTGCTCTGTATGTTCTAGCACACAGAGAGTGAGGAGGAGCAAAACATTCATTCATTCGTTCGTTCATTCATTCATTCATTCATTCATTCAAGTAGTCCCATTTACACAGTAGAAGACGTGTCTGAGATGATACATGTCGTGGAAAAACAGGCCTGTGATTCGTCAGTTTTGATTGTCCATGAAGCTGTCTTTGACCACGTTGAGTGATGAAACATATACAGCACTCTGTCCACTCTCAGCCCAGCGCTGACACTTTAGCTCTTTTCATTTATTTACATAATGGACAATATCCGATAAGATGATAATATCTTATAATAGATCATATCAATGCTCAGTCTCTGACCTGCTGGACCGTCCACTGTAATATCTGAGGGCTCGGTCTCTGACCTCTCTCTCTGTCACTGCTCTAACATTTCAGGCCTGTGTTAAGAGGTCGTGACCTCTGAGTGATGGTGACGTGTATGCAGCTGTGTTGAAGCTGCTGTGTTGTTTGTGCTGAATCAGCTCTGTTGACTCTCAGCTGAGTCAGTGAAAGTGATGAAATACAGAACAGACTATAGAGTTCTTACTGCATGTTTGTGCCAAAGAGCAGATAAAGCAGTTTTTTACCATGTGTGTATGTAGATACATGCAAACTGTGCGAATATTATAATTCATTATAATGGATTATAATATTATTATAACATTATAAATGTTATGGTGAAATAGCAGCACAGGTAGAACGTTTCTCAACCAATCAGCTTGTGTGGCGGGAACAAACTGTTTTTGGTATTATACATAACTTATTAGTAGTGATTGTGCAGTGCAAAGCAATGCGCAACACTAATGTAATCTGACAGTGTATTCTTCTTCTTCTTCTTGTTCTTCTTCTTTTTCTTCTTCTTCTTCTTCTTCGTGTCCTTCTTCTTCTTCTTGGTTCATATTTTTGTCCAGTAACTCGTCCTGCAGTTTACAAAATATCTACACCGTTCCAAAATGTATGCTATATACAGCTTTTTGGTCAGATGTTTGGTTTGCATGGAGTCATTGACTAATTTTTCCCCATAGGAACGAAGGGGATGCAAACATTTGTGCACCCAGCTTATGTTGTGTTGATACAAGTCCATTAGCAACACCCTGTTAACCATGTGAGGAACCATAGCAACTACCTAGCAATACCCTAGCAGCCACCTATGATACCATAGCAACCACCTAGCTGCCAGCTGGGATACCATAGCAACCACCTAGCAACACCCTAGCAACCACCTGGCAACACCCTAGCAACCACATAGGAGACCATAGCAACCACCCAGCAACACCCTAGCAATTACCTGGGCTACCTTAGCAACCACCCAGCAACACCCTAGCAACCACCAGTGAAAGAAATTAGACTTGTCTCATTCTCTCACCTTGGCCGGTGCACTTGTCCACACTCTCCCCTCCACAGAGCTCTGGGAATGTCTCGCTCAGAAAGAAAAAAGGAGTCGATCTCTCATGAGCAAAGCGTTCAGTTTGTTGCACAACAAACAGAGCATTTACAGGCAGTGTTACATAAGTGCTTCATCACACAGCGTTCCTTACAAGATAAGAAAAAAATGGTTTCAAGGCAACAGGCAGTTTCAGTCGTTACAAAGGCAAGACGTCCTGCTTTGCCAGTCTTCCGCCGCCCTACTAAACCACAGCAGAACATACCAGAGGAAAGGAGGCAGAGACAAGCACATTCCCTCACTTATGCATATTTTATATATATATATATAGTGCTTTTACAACATTTTTACAACAAGGTAGTTCTCCTCACCAGCGTTTTTCTAACAACCCAGGATACCATAGCAACCACCTAGCAACTCCCTGGCAACCACCTAGCAACTCCCTAGCAACCACCTGGGATACCATTGCAACCACTGATCAACACCTTTCAATCTCCTGAAATATCATAGTAATCGTTGGGCAACACCCTAGCAACTGCTAACCCTTTGGCAACACCCTAGCAACCACCTAGGAAGTGCTTAAGCAGTTACTCTGCATGTTCTTCAAGAAATGCATTATTATTATTATCATTATTATTATTATTATTATTATTTATTATGCATATTGTTCCATGTATCTAAATTCATTCAAACTGCGAACTGTACAACTTATGCATTAATGCATTATATATTACACATTATGCGAATCTTGCATTCTAGAGACATATGTGCATATCATACTGTTCTTGTTATGTTTATCATTGTGTGTATTAGAGAATTTCTGCATTGCACAGTTTGTGTTTTCAGCTTGTTTTGTTCCTCTGTGTTCCAGGTCATGTGGAGTGTAAGGAACATTACACAGAGGTTCTGGAGAACCTAGGGAACAGTCACCTCTCTCAGGACAATAATGAGATCTCCACCGGCTTCCTGAACCTGGCCGTGTTCACTCGAGAGGTCACAACGCTCTTCAAAACTCTGGTGAGTCTTGATTATGTGGTGCCTGACGCTATATGACACTCTGTTATCTATAAAAGTGGGCAGAGGTACAGACAGAATTCAGGCTCCAGGATGGCTGCTGATGTTTTTATTATGCTAATGTACTTTTGTTCATACAACCCCATTTCCAAAAAAGTTGGGACACCATGCAGAATATAAATAAAAATAGAATGCAATGATATGCAAATCATGTAAACTATATTTTTAAATGAATTTTGAATTTGATGCCAACAACATGTTCCAAAGAAGTTGGGATGGGGGCGTGTTTACCACAGCGCTTCATCACCTCTTCTTTTAACATTACTCTGAGTGCTTGGGAACTGAGGAGGCCAACTGCTGTAGTTTTAAAAGGGAAATATTTTCCCATTCTGTAAAGCGCCAAATGTTTTCAGTGGGTGACAGTTCTGGACTGCAGGCAGACCTGGATTCTTTTAATATGAAGCCATGCTGTTGTAATACATGCAGAATGTGGTGTTACATTGTCTTGCTGAAATAAACAAGGCCTTCCCTGAAAAAGACGTCGTCTGGATGGCAGCATATGCTGCCAAAACATGTATATATCTTTCAGCATTAATGGTGCCTTCACAGATGTGCATGGCACCTCTGCCATGTGCACTAATGTACCCCTATACCATCATGAATACTGGCTTTTGAACTGTGTTCTGATAACAAGCTGAGCTGTCTTTAGCCTGGAGGACACAGTGTCCATGATTTCCAAAAATAATTTCAAATGTTGATCAGTCAGACCACAGGACACTTCTCCACTTCCCCTCAGTCCATTTGAATGAGCTCTGGCCCAGAGAAGGCAGCAGCGTTTCTGGATCCTGCTTATAAATGGTTTCTTCTTTGCTTTTTAGTGTTTTAACTTGCATTTGTGAATGCAGTGACAAACTGTTTTCACAGACAGTGGTTTTCAGAAGTGTTTCTGAGCCCATGCAGTGATTTCCACTAGAGAATCATGTCTGTTTTTAATGCAGTGCTACTCGAGGGCCCAAAGATCACAGCCAGCAAATAATGTTTTTTTGGCCTTGTCTCTTGCATACAGAGATTTCTCCAGATTCTCTGAATCTTCTAATGATATTTCGCACCGTAGATGATGAAAAGCAAAAGTTCTTTGCTATTTTATGTTGAGAAACGTTATTCTTGAATTGTTGCACCATTTGATTGTGCAGTCTTTCACAGAGCGGTGAACCCCTCATCATCTTTACTTCTGAAAGACTGAAAAGCTTTTTTACACCCAGTCATGTTACTGACTTGTCAATCAACCACCAGGTGTTTTAGCATTGCACAACCTTTACCAGCCTTTTGTTGCCTTGTCCCAACTTTTTTGGAACGTGTTGTTGGAATCAAATTCAGAATGGGCATATACTTTTTCAAAAACAGTAAAATTTCTCGGTTTTAACATTTTGATATATTGTCTTTGTACTGTTTTCACTTAAATATAGGGTTTAAATGATTTGCACATCATTGCATTTTGTTTTTATTTATATTTTGCACAGCGTCCCAACTTTTTTGGAAATGGGGTTGTGTTAGAAATATTGTTGAAATGTGTACAACAGTGTTAAATTTGTGTATAATATCACAGGTGGGTTTTGTTTCTCCGTTTGGTGGAGTCTGCCATTAGACCGAGTCAGTCTGAGCGTCTGTGCTGTGAGCCGTCTGTGTAAGTCCTGCAGTCTGAACGTGTAGAGTAGCTGTAACTGCAGGACCGTCGTGTTAATGTAAACACAGTGACACACCCTTCAGTCCTGTGACACGGAGCTGCGGTGAGATTCAAACACTCAGTCTGAAGAGTTACTCAACTCAAACATGTCTGTTCTCATTTATTTTCAATATAAACCAGAAAATAACAGCACTGACCTGCAGCACCTACTGAATCAACGCTAAAGCTCTGTGTTTCACTTTGTGAAAGTCAAAGAGCTTAAGATTAGAGTCGGGCTTAATGTTAGGCTCAGAAAATTATAGGCTACATACATGCTGTTGTTGTTGTCGTTATTATTACATATAGGTGCTTATACAAATAATACATATAGTGTGCATGCTTTTATTACATATGCATACAATACATACAGGACATGTTGTTGTTATTATTACATGTTGGCACTTACAGGTGTAATACTTACAGGTATGGCTGGGCAAAAAAACGATAATGATTATTATCGCAATATAATTTTTATAGAATTATAAGAATGTTAGATAAATTTTCGATATAATGCACCATTCTCACACGTTCTAGCGTCAGCCCTGCAAGGAAAGCGACACTACTCCGCTGTCACCATTAGAGGGCACACTTCTGAGTTTTTCGACATGACTGGGGTTTGGGGGCTGCCAAATATACTTTGAGTCGCCAAATATACTTTAGCAATGTCTGAAACGTGGAGTTAGATATTGCCTGTTTGAGTGGAGCGATCGGCGATCTGTTCTCCTGTGACCAAGTAACGAGATAAGTGGCGTAACTGTACTGTCCTAAAGTGAACTCACCTCTTTGCTTACAGCCTAACAAGCTTTAGCAGCGTTAAATCACGTCTGCTCTTCACAACTACAGCACTGTTACAGCACCAAACAGTCATATTTAAGTATTAGTGCATTCCCAAGCAATGAAAGTGAAAGAAAGAAAGAAGTGGGTTCATGCAAGTTACAGCCCTGATTTAAACGAAAGCAAACTGAGGAAGCTGTGAGGCATTGGAGAGCGAGAGAATGCTATCTTCCCAGGCTAGCTGATTTTAGCAGCTGGCCAACTTAAAGCAGCGCTTTCTCACTCACACAGCACGTCGAATTGATGTTACTGTAGATCAAACAACACAAAAAAAGCACTGATTTCAGTTTAAATGTGCTTAAAAGGAGGATTCTGTTTGTCTGATGCAAGAGAAGCAAACTGCAGTCAATGCTTTTACACAGCGAGTGTATGATGTAATACTGTTCATCCCTCAAACTACTATGAAAGAACAGACAAACCCAGTCGTCTGCTAGCTGCTGTTGGAATACTGTGATATGCTCATGACATGGATGTGGTAGGTGTGATTGCAGTAAGGCGGTGTGATCCATCACTGACCTACCGAGCCAGCTAATGTTTGCTGTTCGTATTAAGCTGAAGTTGTTGAGAGACTAAACAGTTTAGCACCTTCAACCAGAGTGCCTAGCACTCATCACCAGACAGCTAAAATATAGAATAATATAAATATAAAATAATCTATTTTCTATCTACTTTCTTAAATTATGACTGTTACAAAAAATGCGACTGTGCTTTTCCAGCTGGTAAAAACAACTAACCAGACACTTTCTCCCACTGTCCCATGACAGGTTTTTGAATTGTTCCACTGTTTGGCGAGTGTTTGTCATGTTCTGACCATAAAGGATAGTTTAAAACAGCAGTTAAACACTCAGGAGCAAAAATCAGCCTTCAAACTTGGAAGAAATAATGATTTGACATTTATCACTGTGTGTATCGATATCGAACGATATGAAATGTTTTATCGTGATTCGACTTTTGGCCCATATCGCCCAGCCCTAACTACAGGGCATGTTATTATTACATATAGATACTTACACATATGCAATATATACAAGACATGTTATTATTATATATAGGTACTTATACATAAAATACATACAGGGCAGGTTTTTATTACATATAGGTACTTACATACATATAACACATACGGGCCATGCTATTATTACATATAGATACTTATACATATAATACATACCGAACATGTTTCTGTTACATATAGGTACTTACATTCATACATACAATACATGCAGGTTGTTATTACTACATATAGGTACTTACATATAATGCATATGGGACATTAGTTTGGAGAAGAGCCTTTCTTGTTTCAGCATGACTGAGCCCCTGTGCACAGAGCGAGCTCCATAAAGACATGGTTTGACCAGTCTGGTGTGGGGGAACTCCAGTGACCTGCACAGAGCCCTGACCTGAACACCTTTTGGATGAATTGGAACGTCGATTGTGAGCCAGAACATCAGTGTCTGACCTCACAAATGCTCCTTTGACCGAATGGCCACAAATTCACACAGACACACTTTAAAATCTTGTAGAAAGCTTCCCTTGTCTACAGGCTAATGAATGCTGATAAGTACACACTTTAATACACATGAGAAGCAGAAAATCATCAACCAGCTTCTAAGACTGAACTTTGGAGGTGTGTCTGCAGATTTCTTTGAGAAACTGAAAGTGAGTCTCCTGAAAAGAATGGAAGCTGGAATAAAGGTAAAGAGTGACACATTCAGCACTCAAAACAGCTGAAAATAGATTTAGTTGTTGAGGCTTCTGAGTAATTTTATGTTAAATATGTGAATAATTTGGCCATTTTTGACTGGAGATAAAATAACTGAAGGGTGTTTAGCACAATATATAGTACATATGGAGCGTTTGTATGACCTCACGTCCTGACAGATCTATGAGCATGTGTGGCGGTTTATTTATGGCTGAGCGGCGCTCTGGCTCCTGCTGGACGGTGAGAGCGCGCCGGGGACAGGGAGGGGAGCGGAGCTGTGTGCGGCAGCTGCAGGCTTTCAAACCAGTGCGGTCCGGATCCCTCCCACCGGCGGTCTCCACGGCAGTCTTAATTTATTCCAGACACGAGCGCATGATTGGACAGCACCTGGCCCCCCAACCTGTCAATCAAAAAAGGTCACCAGGGATCTGGAGCTCAGCTAGCGGCCGCACAGGAGAAACCAGGCTAGAAAAACAAACAACTCAATATGATTTAGTATTCGTCCTTCGCTGACTCTGCTCTCTCTCTCTCTCTCTCTCTCTCTCTCTCTCTCTCTCTCTCTCTCTCTCTTTGTCGCTTTTCCACTTCAGCAGAGCTGTAGGTTTCTGCTGAACAATTTGAGGTTTGGGATCTGTGACTGGTACCTCAGGACTTCCAACAATGTGGGGTCAGCTGAGGATATGAACTGAATAAATCACCCTTAAAGGGCCCATATTGTGGAAAATGGGATTTTCCTCGCTTTTGTGAAATAAAATAGTTTGTATAGTGCGAAAATGCAGTTAAAGCTCTGTTCCAGTCCAGCTGCGGAATCTCAGCGGGAAAAACAGCCTGTTGTGCGTTCATCATGGTTGTGATGTCACAACTACAGACACATTCCAATATGACCGCTCATTCCACCTACAACAGTTTTTTTATGAATGAGGCACATCACAGGGCAGCTCATTTACATATAACAGTCTTAAAGGCACAGTAACAGAAGAAGCCTAATCAATTCTGAGATAAGGAAAGGTTGGAAAATGATTGTGGAATGCATGATGGGTATTGTAGTTAGAGAGCCCCTGCACTACAGGATATTACAATACAAATAGCATATCAAACAGATTGTCCCTTTAATGAGCTGTGTCCTTTGTATAAGAGGCCAACGGGGATGTTGTTTTTGGCCAGATACTGGGATGGTTTCTATAAACATAGTCATGTATAGTATGGTGTAGTAATGTAACCCTCATCGTCACATGAGGGACAGAGGGTAACTTGGGGTCAGGGCTGCTGTTGGCACAGAGTCATCAGAATGCTGCTCTTTAGTATGTGTCTGTGTCTGTGTGTGTGTGTGTGTGTGTGTGTGTGTGTGTGTGTGTGTTCTCTCTCTAAAAAGGGGCAATTTCTCCACAGTGTCGATTCTTTTAAAGGGCCTATATGGCTGTTTTTGTTGCTTGGCCTTTAAGACTGATGTATGTAAATGAGCTCTGTCTTCAGGAACAACGATCTATATTACTTCACTAAGAATGGGCAGGACTTAACAACTCTAGGGAGAATGGGTGGGGTTAATCTACTGTATACTGAAAGGGTGGGATTAAACTGCTATCAAGGGCGGGGCTAAACTGCTATAGGCTGAATGGGTGGGGCTAAACTGCTGTAGGCTAAATGGGTGGGGCTAAGATGCTGTAGTCTAAATGGACGGGGTTAATCTGCTGGAGGCCGAATGGTCGGGGAAAACTGCTGTGAGATGATTGGGTCGGGCTAAACTGCTATAGGCTGAATGGTGGGGATAAACCACTGTAGGCTGAATGGGTGGGGCTAAATTGCTGTAGGCTAAATGGGTGGGGCTAAACTGCTGTATGCTGAGTGGGTGGCCATATGTAATGACATCACATCCATGATGAATTCAAACAGGCTGTTCTTTGCAGTTCAGTCTCCATACATGGGCTGTATGGACGGTCTGTGTTTTTACTACATCAAACTGTTAGAAAAGAAAAGTGACGAATGAGGTTTTTCCACGATTTATGTCTTTTAAGATAATAATTAAGATAAGATTTCATTTAGATTTTCTTTTTAACATCCCCACAACCAAACCCCCCCTTCCTTTCTAGTTTGAAAGATCTCCTGACCATTTATCTCCTTCGTTTGAGTTTATATTCTGCTCTCTGGTCATGGTAAATCCGCAGGTTCGTTCAGTAATGTTCCTCTTTTAGCTCTGAATGCACTGAGGTGTATTTTTCCTGGAGTGGATTTTCTCACACATTCTTTCCAGAGGAAGATTTACACAAGGTCCTGCTGTGCCGTAAGCGGCTTGGCTTCAGCAAGCGCCCCACGCTGCAGTGCCCCATTCATCTCTACAGGAAAGTTGACTGGAAACCAGGAGAAAATGGACAGGACGTCGTTGCTCTGGCCAGAAAATGGACTAACGTCATAATTTTTTGTCAGACAGCTTGAGGCAGAGTTTACATTAAAGTGACAGTTTGGAAAAATGTACTAAATTTCTCCCCTCTTACCCCAAACACAGTCCATCAGCCAAGACATGTTGGGTATCTGAAGTTTGCTTTTTTAGCACTGGAGCTATGAGGCTAATGTAGCTAACAAGTAATGTAAGCTTATAGCCCACCGATTAGCATGGTGCTAACTTCAGTGGGCTGAGCACTTTGGGGGGAAATGCCTAATTTGTGGATTTCTTGACCAATAATGGGAGTGCGGTTTAAATTACATTATTTTCCATGAATTAAGATACAACATTATTAGGTCAGTGTTCCCCGGTTAAAGGGAACATATCATGGAAAATCTAATTTCCCTCACTTTTGTCCATAAAACATGTTATTTTAGTATATAAACATTGTTACATTTTCAAAATATACCATCTACTCCTCAGTCCATAATGCAAAAACAGCCCATTTAGAATTAAGTAGTGTTGTGATGTCACAAAACCCTACTCATTTACATGTATCCAGCTATTCAGCCTACAGCAGTGCAGCCCTGCCCACTCACCCTAAAGTTATAAAGAGGGTTTCAACCTGGACTGCTTTCTTTTTTGTTGTTTAGTAAGGCACAGTACAGGGCAACCAGTCAGAACAGAGCTCATTTAAATATTCTGTCTTAAAAGCACAGCAGCAAAAACAGTCTGTTTAATTCTGAAGGTTAAAGAGAGGCTCAAAAATGGTCATGTAGAAATGAATTCTGAGCGTTTTTTGGTACATAAGAACACACAAATGTTATAAGTCGACATCAGGGGAATTTTTTTCTATATTCGAAAATTGCAATATGGGCAATATGACAATATATCGCTGTTGTCGGAACAAAACCTTGTATCTCAAAAATGAGAACTTTACAGGAGAAGGTAAAAACATACTTTACTTTTAATGTAAGTCAATGGAGCCAGACTTTTTTCCAAGTAATGAATGAAATTTACACGCAATGTAAAGGGCAACAGGCGTTTTCAAATGATGTCAAAAACAGAAAAATGTCAAAAATGTAGATACAAAGTTTTGCCCAGACAGCAGCGATACATTGTTATTGTTATAAATTGTGTCACAATAAACTACAATATGCTTTTCTGAACATATTGTGTATATTGTCAGTACTTGTAGACAATGACCACCTCATGTTTCATTATAAAGAGAGCAAAATTAGTCTAGTTTAACTGGATTTAGTGCCAAATATTGAATAAAAATCACTGTGTTGACAGTTTTTGATAGTATTTTTTTAAATGTAGCACTGCTGGCCCTATTTTCTCTATCCAATTGATTAAATGTCTGAGAAAGTAAATATCATGACATGTTGTGTATCATGAAAATTTGTCTGTCTGTCTGCAGGTGCAGAATCTGAACAGTATTCTGTCCTTCCCTCTGGAGAGCATCCTGAAGAGTGAACTCAGAGACACCAGACTGGTGAGTTTCCATTGCCTCAGTGCAGTAATGCTAATGTTCTGATAAACACAGCAGTATTGCAGAGATACAGTTATTACAGTAAGCATGGGTGTGTTATAGCATGAGGACAGATAGTTGAGGTGTTGCGCATAGGGAGGGCGAGGTGCGGGATCTTTTAGGATTGCATTGCTTTTGTGTTTGTCATGTGAAAAGCAAGAATAGCAATAGAACAGTGTTTTACATCAGCTGAGACATGTAGTTTTAGTAGTAGAGCTAAGAGGCTAATGTAGCTAACATACAGTGGAAGTCTACATAATTCGCTACTAAAAAAAAACAGCATGTTGTTGTGTTTACATGAGGCAGGCAGTATTTGGATTTCTGCTTTACAACCAGCCAGTAACTCACAGAATAAGACGTGATGTGAACGTAACGTATAACTTAAACGTCATGCAGCGGCTTTTCTTTAAATCACTGAGTCAGAAAATATGAACATACATCATCTAGAAGATGAAGAATATTTAGGTCCTTCGTTTCATCGAGCATGTAGCCGATTTCAGCGTCGCTCCAAAAGTGCTGTGCTGCGTCTCACGGTTGCCGTGTTAAACACTGTGTTAAGCGCTGCTCACTGTTTCTGGGACAGCGCTCTGTTTTCACACATGAGCAGAATGAGAGAAACAAAAGAAATCAGAGTAAGGAGTTTACATGCACTGAAAACCCCATTACTGACTCAAATCCAGCCTCTTAATCAGATTTCTAACCTAATAATCACTTTATAATCAGATAACTGCAGGAATCCATTAATGATCGGATTATTACGTGCATGTAAACTGTTATCTCTGAATATGGTCTAAATGTGGTCTGAGTTCAGGCTTAAAGATTGCTGCTGCTGTTTTTAGCTAGAAGACATTGATTTAATGCAGATGTCTCCAAAAAGGACTACTGTTAGTTACTGAGGGATGACTGCTCGTCTGTAAATCTGTCTCTGTTTCTCTCTCAGGACCTAAGGAAGCAGATGGAGAGAAGCTGGAAGGATTACGATGTTAAAATGTGAGTTTCTCTACAAGTTAGCCACACAAAGATGGGAGTACAGATAGAAGAGGTAGAATGAATTAACGCTTAATTTTGAGAAGCACTGGACGGATGTAGAAGAGCAGTGAAAAACGAATGATTAAAACAAAACTTCCTCCATTTCAGTGCAGCTTGGGGTTCAGCAGTGAATAACATTTGAACTGTGGCTAATAATGTGCTGAGAACAGAGGAGCAATTTTCCTTTACTTTGACTCTAATACCCCCAATATCGGCTACCATCGGTCACAACGTTGTTAACAGTAATTACAAAATTGTTTTCAGATGTGATTTTTTTTTACTAAAATAATATAAATTGGAATTTCCTCACTAGGCCTGTCACAATTATTAGTTATTTGAGATGATTATAGTTTCATTGAAGCAGTTATTTCCCACAGTTGCTGGATTTCACATTCTAATTATGCTGCAACAAACAAAATATGAATTGAGGTTTTTGGCTACAAATAAATGTAAATAAAAGAAAGTAAATGCATTTACTGAGGCATCATGGAACCTGTAAACAAAAAAGTTATAGCTTCTAGTTTGGTGCTATAACATGTTTGGAGGGCAGCATGAGAAATGCTTATTTGTTAGCAATGTAGCTATTTTTATATTTAGTTTAGCATGCATGCTAACAGAATGAGTGTTTTTTTTTCTTATTTTATTATACAACATGTAGCTTTGCTTAACTCCACATAATGCTATGTAACTGTAGACATTTGTCTGTGTGCGCACAGTATTGATTCAACAGTACAACCAGTGTTAGCTACTAAGTAAACATTAACACTAATATGAAAATTAATCATCAGTTAAAAAACAAAACATTACAAAGATATTATGGCTTTATACCACTTACTTTTTACAATAATTACACTGTAGTGATTAAATGAGTGACAAGTTTGTTTATGCATCCGTTGTTCATGTTGTCCGTTGTTCCACAGTTATGCGATTGAATGACCACTGCAGTTTAGTGTTTAGCCACCTTTTTTACCACCACATCCCTAAAATATCTGGGCCTTTCAGAGGTCAGTGAGGGCCGAGCAGTTGTTCTGTTGGCCGACTGTGCAGATGTTAGCGTTCACCAAAGACAATCTCAAATTGAAATGTTACACACTTTATATATATATATATATATCTATACCATTGATGCTAATCTAGCTTGCTTTTGATATTACACTGTCAGCATGTTAATGAAACCTGGACCTTGATGTTTTCTTCTGCTGTCTCTTTCTTAGGATGAAGTTGGAGAGGGAGAGGCAGAAACAGGCCGGGTTGATCCGGCTGGACACTGTGGATGTGGTGGAGGACATGGAGAGAGAGAGGAGGACCTTTCAGCTGCAGATGTGTGAGGTGCGTGTGCAGAACAGGGAAAAATTTTCTGCTTTAGCTGCACTGCTGAACCCAGCTGTGGTGAAGACTGGAAATAAAGATTAGAGAGTTTGTGGGGGAATTTTGTTCTACTGTAGCACCTCGTCTGGATGTCCTTCTGTCTGTTTTACTACAGTAAATTATGAGTCACAATCTGAGCACAGAGCTAACATACACCACTAACTTGGCTAACATACATTATGCTATCTACTAAAAAAAAAAAGCAAAGACCTGTATGAATTCTAAGCTGGTCTAGTGCTGGTTTAGCTGCTCACCCAGTATGGTCGTGCTTGTTTACCAGCATACCAGCATCCAAAACACAACACAATGTGCTGGTTTAGCTGGTGACATAGCTATTAAAGTTAACATACACCATACTAACAAACATCACACTAACACAACTAACATACACCACTCAAACAAATACAGCTAACATACACCCTGCTACCATAGCCAACACAGCTAACATACACCACGCTAACTAACATAGCTAACATACACCCTGCTACCATAGCCAACACAACTAACATACACCACGCTAAATAACATAGCTAACATACACCCTGCTACCATAGCCAACACAGCTACCCTCCTCCATGCTAACTAACGCAGCCAACAAACACCCTGCTAACATAGCTAACACAGTCAACATACACCCTGCTAACATAGCTAACACAGTCAACATACACCCTGCTAACATAGCTAACACCGCTGACACACACCACTCTTAACACGGCTAACGCACACCTTGCTAACATAGCTAACACATTTAAAATACACCATGCAAACAAATACAGCTAACATACACCCTGCTAACCTAGCCAACACAGCTAACATACACCACGCTAACTAACGCAACTAACAGACACCCTGCTAACATAGCCAACACAGCTAACATACACCACGCTAACTAACGCAACTAACAGACACCCTGCTAACATAGCCAACACAGCTAACATACACCACGCTAACTAACACAACTAACAGACACCTTGCTGAAATAATTAACACATCTAACATACACCATGCTAACATAGCCAACACAACTAACATACAGCACCCTAACATACACACCACTAGTCTATACTACGCAAACTTACACTATCCAGAAAAAACAGCATAGACCAGCACGGCTGTTCACCAGCACCTGCTAAACCAGCACTAGACCAGCATAAACCAGCTTAGACCAGTATGGAATTCTAGCTGGTCTTTACAGTTGTGCACACTAACACAAACCATGCTAAGACACACCTCACTAACACACTGCTAACATACACAACGCTAATGTGCACCACATTAGTAATGTACTACACTGACCTGAACACTGACGACACACACTGCTAACAAAATACACCATGCTAACACACTCCTCAATGCTAACACCACGCTAATGCACGCACATACACCACACGTCCTCTCAGTCCTCTGCTGAATTGGCTTCTGTTAAGCTAGCCATGAACTTTGTAAGGAGTTTTTATTATTAATCATGAATTATTATTTATTATTTTATTATTTTTGCAGTATTTGCTCAAAGTTCAGGAGATGAAGATGCGTCAGGGTCCGGATCTGCTCCAGAGCCTCATCAAATACTTCCAGGCCCAGCTGAAGTATGTCTAACCACACACGCTGTCTGTTCAGTTTACACCTGTATTCACACACACACACACACACACACACACGTAAAGCTCCCACAGGCTAGTATCACATGCTAGCAAAAATTTAAAAATGAACTAAAAAACACTCATTAGCCGGGAGTCCGAGAGAGCACAATTGGCCTTGCTCTCTCTGGGTGGGTAGGATGGCCCCTCCTTCTCCCCCCATCACCCCGCGTGATGCTAGTCAGCGCAGGCGCCTGTTAGCTGACGTAACAGATCTGGCGGTTGGCGCTTTCCTCCGAGCGCGTTCGGCTGTCCAGTGACGTTGCGTGAGCGGCAGTTCGAAAAGAAGCAGTGGTTGGCTTCACAGGTCTCGGAGGAAGCCTGTGTTAGCCTTCACTCTCCTAGCGTTGATAGCATCGTGTGATTGGGGGACTCCTAACTAGCGGGTGGAATTGGAGACGACTAAATTGGGGAGAAAAATCAGGTAAAAATAATTAAAAAAAAAAAACAAAAAGAGAATTAATTGAAAAAGAGGACTTTTTAAGCTTTAACTTAATTTAAATAGAGAAATAGCACTTTCTATTTTTAAATATTGTAGAAAAAGAAAATTAAAGATAATAAAAATCTGATTTCTGTTTCATCGAGTTATTAAATATGTATTAATATATCTTTTTCTCTCCTTGTAGAACATTTGAATATGCGAGAGAACATTTGAGAGAATATTTGTTAGAATATGTGAAAATAAAAATGTTTGGTAGTTGCTTCCTAAATGTGTTCACTGTATTCTGGATGTTGTAATGAGGAAAGACTGACCCAGAGGAAAGAAATACTCTAAATGAGACCTCCTCTTGATCTCAGGTTCTTCTCCTAGACACAGTTAAGTCCAGTTTGAAATCAGAGTAAGACTTAAGCCATTTTCTCCTGTTTCTAAAATTTGGCTCCTGAGAAATAACACTCAGATTTTCTCACTTTGATCAAAATGTTGTCACATATGCAGCTTTTCTCTTCAGTGTCTGACTCGTCTCAGCCCAGTGAATAATATCTCCATAAGAAAAGAGCACGGTTTCATCATCATCTGTCAGTGCAAAAGGAGAACTCATGCTTTTCTCCTTCATCACCAGAACTTCCCACGGTGAAATGCTCATGTTAGTTGTATGACATTGCAGTGCTCTGCTACAGGACAAGTCACACTAGATGTGTTTTATGCTGAGGTTGTTAGCTGTTAACCTGAACTACTTTATTTGTCAAAGGAAACGTGAGAAACATGCTTTTCATTATTTTAAATTCAATGAGCAGCAAAATGTTAGTTGTAAAACTCTCAGAGACAAAACAGTGTCAGAAAATAGAGCTTTTCTTTGAACAATGCGCATTCAGACTGCTTTAGTCTCCAGCAGGAACCGAACGCTTTTTCAGCTCCTCCCCGACTCTGTCTGTGTGAGATTATGAAGAATTCCTGTTTCACTCGTTTATCTGAACACTGAACACATTTCTATTGTTTCTCTATCACCCAAACATTCAGCCACGGCAGACGCCTCAGTTTCAGCTCAACAATAGCAGCTGTTTTTAGGATTCAATACGAAATTGTGTCTTCGTGCCCTACATACGGGAGTGTGTGTGTTTGTATTTGCAGGGAGGAACCTTCTGGGCCTTTTCAGAGAAGGCCTTAAGTTCCTGAGAACTAAAAAAGGAGTGTCTATAATTTTTAATACATTTTATGTAATAAAATCAGCATGCTTGTTGTATTTAAACTCTGTATGCATTGAGCAAAAGAGTTAAAATCTTTAACAATCCAAAAGAAAATTATCCAATCAAGCTTGTTCTTTCTGTGGTATCTAGGTAGATACAGCCGAGCAAGCTCTCCTATTGGTTAGGACTTCAGGAGCTGCACTGAAGGCCTTTTATGTTAGATTAACTTCGAACATAATTAGAAACTGAAAGAGGAATCAACCCATCACACTGTGGTTACAATGGGTGGTTTTCTTGATGTTCTAGTTACGTCACTGACTGTGAATACGAGCTGTAGTCTAAGCAGGTTCCGGTTAGTTGTTAGGAATGGAAAACAGCGGCGGCAGCTCTATGGCAGGACTCTTTACTGAAAGAATCAACTGGGAAACTGATACAGACAAGCTCAGAAATATGCAGGCTTCAAATAAAACATACTGAATGTTCTTTATAAATTCAATCTAGAACAGTCAACAAATGTTCAAATGCATCAGCTTTACCTTAGTGCTAACATACTATTAGAAACCCTGTAGGGGGCGCTAGCAGAAATTAGCCTTATTGTAAATGTGAGGTTTTTCATTTATGGCCTAAACTGAAGGCGCGGCTCTGATACACATAGTTCACCACTCGATTTTTGCATCTGTCTGTGTGTATCAGTATTTGTATGTGTGTGTGATGAATATGGTGATAAGTGTGACTTTTTTTTCTCAGTTTTTTCCAGGATGGACTAAAAGCTGCTGAAAATCTCAGTCCGTTTGTGCAGAAGCTGGCAGCCTCAGTCCACACGGTAATATATGTAATACTCTGTATGTGTGCTTGTGTTTGAGATAGAGGTCAGCATTGGTGTGAAATAGGAGCCTGAACCTGACAGTATGAGCAGATCTGATGTTAATTATACAAACGAAATATACATTCATTCCATTTTTTTATCAAGAAACAATAACAGACCTAACATCCTATTAAATTACAGTATTTAAATGCTTTATCATAGCACCTGAAACAGAAAACTATGCTTTTTACCTTCATCTATTGCTTCTGGTTTTTGCAGCCAGCTTTTCAAATAGGCAACTCGACTGTAAATATCGAAAATCTCAATAATCCTACAGATTGTGACTGGATAACTATTAACCAAATTCAGATTAGGAAAAATATTCAAATGGAGCTAAAAGCTATAAAAACTCTTCTCTGACTGATCAGGACTATGTAGCCCCTTCAGACCGCACAGTGATTGTAATCAAGGCAGGTAAACAACCCCATGGCAGCAGACTTTTTTTTTTCTTTTTTAAGCTTTTATTTTCTGGCAGGAGTCTGAATCAGTCTGCGATATCGGATTGCAGGGGTATTTCATTTAACCGGGAGTAACAAAGCTGAAGTCAGCTTCTTCATGTGTCTCTACTTTCTTTGCATGCTGTGAAAACATGTACAGTGTATGGTGACATACTTCAAAAGCCGAGCCGATAGCAGTTAGCTCACCAGAAAAGCTTTGGCCAAACTGGGACAATACACTAACTGAAAATGCCATCGTCAATTCTCAATAAATGTAAACTCTCAAAAGCATATCGTCTTGAAATTAGCAACAAACTATACTGCTTTTATAATACAGACATTTAGTTGTGATATATATGTATTGCATACATAATGTAAGTTGGGAACCATCAGGGCCTTCTAGGCCTTCAGAGGAGGTCTAACAATTTCTGGGAACTAAAAAATATATTTTTATTAAAATAGAATTATGTTTGTATTTAATCTCTGCATTACAGTAGTATACTTATTTCTTTGTTAAGGGTTTTGGATGGAAACAAAAGGGTTCAATTCTAAAGTCCAGTAGAAAAGTGGCCAGTCAATATTAGTTTTTTTCTGTGGTGTCTAAATAGATATAGTTAAGCGAGCTCTCCCATTGGTTAGGACTTCAGAAGTTTAAGAGAAGGTCAAACATCTTAGAGGAATCAGTCAATGAGTCATGTTTAGATTTACAATGGGACCATTTTCAAGAGCAAAAATATCACTCTAAGGCCCAATCCCAGTTCGTCCCTTGCCCTTTTGCGTGTTCACGTCTAGAGGTAGGGTGTCCTGATTCTTGTTGAAATAGAGGGGTAGGGTGAAGTGTTAGGGCTACATGGCCCTCCAAACAGAGGTTTTTCAAACTTCAAACAGAGTGTTATGAGAAAAAAAGAAAAAACAGTGAGGTGGCTGCACAATCGACTGAAGAAACCCAGAAATGTGAGAATTTTCTGTGTAAAAATTTACAGTAACCATTGTATTATCTTAGTTTAATGTCTTTTCAATGTATTATGGCCTTTTTATTCATAACAAGCATAAAAATCACTGGTAGTAGCTGATGTCTCGGTACCTAGCCAGCTGAATTTCCCGTTCCACCTTAAATAGTTACATTCTGGTGCCTCAGGCGTCAGAACTGCTACACCAATTAAGGTGGAACGGGAAAATTCGATCAAGAAGCTGGCAGATAGCTGACTTCATCTTCATATCACCGAAGAATAAGGGGTGGGCGATAATAAATAATTGCACCCCCCTCTTTGAAGGCATATGATGCCCTAAATTCAACTAAAGCCCAGCAGCGAAGTTGCTGAACCCTCCTGACTGGCAGGATTGCCTACAGAGCACCACTAGTAGACAGTTAGTGAAGTAATGTTCTTTTTATTTGAGGGTCCCATTTCACAGGGAAGTAAGATTTCAACCACTACCCTATGTAACTCAGTTCCAAAGTGTAAGGTACACTCGAAAAAAATAAGAATTGGGATTAGGCCTAATCCTTCAGGAAGTTCTAGATAATTAATTGACTGTGTATATGAGGGGCAGCCTAATCAGTGGGTGATTAGAAATGGAAAACAGTGGCAGCAGCTCTCTCCTGATATGCTAATATATCTGCCACAAGCTTCATTGTCTTTTAGAAGCTTCATATGTCTGCAGGCAAACCACATTTATCCAAATCGCCCTTAGCTTAGCGCTAACAAAGTACTAGAATCCCATAGGGCTGCTTGCAGAAGTTAGCATTAATGTAGAGGTGGGTTTTCTCTGTGTTTCGTACGACAATTTTGGCGCTTATATCCCAAAATGAAGGCTCTAGCTCTATCAGTTAAGGTTCAACACCGCGTAATGTAGAAGAGCAACATACCTCACTGTGTCACGCACCATGAAATATCAGCTAACGTTACTGAGTGCTTTGAAGTCAGGACAGGTCCAGGGCGCTCACGTATGATGTAAACGGAAGTTGGCAAATGCTTTAGGCATTTTTTGCCTCTGAATGTGAACTCGGCTGTCCCTTTCCTTTAGTTTTCCATGATGGAAAGATATTCCATCGCGATATAAACCCTGAGGGTGGTCTGAGCTGATGTGCGGTGATATTGTGATTGTGTGTGAGCTGCAGTGTGTGAGATTTCTGCAGTTTTTCTGACTCAATGACTCAGAGTTTAAACAACACCTGCTGTAGGCCGAGCTATAGGCCTGTTTTCCCTCCACACACATACACGGAAGGAGGATAATAAGGAATTGTGCTGTAATTCCACTGTATACGGGCTGCTGGCTTCCCCCCAGCGTTGATAATAGCTGTGTTTGTATATGGGACTGTGTTGGTATTTGAGTTTAAGGAAGTAGTCTGAGTTACTGATCCTGTGCTGTTTGATTAAAGAAGACTTTAAGAGAAAGATACACACGTGTGTTTGTGTGTCAGGCGGCTCCTCCTTTTTTTGTTCCTTTTTTTTTCCTTTTTTGAACTGCACCTTCATGTAAAGAGACCATTTTAACCATAAGGAAACTCACACTGACTGTACTGTACTGTCCAAGTCAGAGACCCTGATTCCCTTAATTTCCAGCCACTTTGAAGGTGTTCATTTTTCAGCGTAGAAAACACATATTCAGTGGAAAATTACCCAGAAGCCTCAGCAGCTAAATCTAATATCAGCTGTTTGAGTGTTCAGTGAGTCACTCTTTACCTTTATTCCAGCTTCCATTCTTTTCAGGAGACTCACTTTCAGTTTCTCAAAGAAATCTGCAGACACACCTCCAAAGTTCAGTCTTAGAAGTTGGTTGGTGAATTTCTGAAGTAATCAAACCCATTCAGTGATGTTGAGGTCTGGACTCTGGGGTGGTCAGTCCATTGTTCAGCTTCTTTGTTTGATGTGTCCGTCTCCTTTTCTCAGTGAGAGCTTCTTAACAGCTCTTCTGTTTTGTGTCTGTCCTCTTATCCGGTGTCGACCAGAGGAGGATGGGTTCCCCTTTTGAGTCTGGTTCCTCTCAAGGTTTCTTCCTCCTTTTGAGGGAGTTTTTCCTTGCCACTGTCCATAAGGCTTGCTCACTGGGGGCTTGGACCCGGATTCTTTGTAAAGCTGCTTTGTGACAACATCTGTTGTAAAAGGCGCTATATAAATAAATTTGACTTGACTTGACTTGACTCTTCTTACAGTGGAAGGATGGAGAGAAACACCTGTGGATGTTTTCAGATCTGAAGCAGCTTGACTATCTCCTCTCTCTTAAAGATGAAAGCTTGAGGTGCTGTTTATCTGATGGGGCCAGTTTTGGTGATATTTCTTTGAACTCCAGTTTTGGAAACTCTTGTTTTGTTTTCATTTCTTATGCAAGTGGATTGTCTTATATCTAATCTTTTCAGAAATGTGTCCTGAAAAATGAACAACTGGTCCTTAGTGGCTGTTTTGAGTAGAAGTTCAGTAGCTAAAGTTAGTGTCTGATTTTGCTTAGTACCGTATTTGTTTATTAATTTGATTTGATATTTGTACTGAGAGATATATATGAGTCTCTCTTATGTCTGATTTTGAGAATAGATCTTTTTTGTTATATTGTTACAACAAACTCATTCAGAATTTTTAATACATTTTTAACCTCTTGCAGGGCCCCTAGTGGCAGATCATCTTAAATGTTTTTAGATAATATACTCAAATATAACATTTTTCCCTGTAATTTTATCAGATTAACTTTAGGACACTGTTGTCTCTGTGTGTAATGTTGTTGAGCTGCTAGTGAGCAATGATGGGGCAAAACAATAGCTCTCTGCTATGAAAACAACAATAACTATGTTAATATGCTATATTTCATTAATGTGGAACCAGTGTGCCTATTTAATACAGGGGAATTCTGTGTTTTTCAGTGTTACACAATTGTGGATGAACTCATTTTGCTCCGTAATGTCAGAGTTCCTCTGTAAGGCTGTTATTGTCAGTGCGCTGGTGGGGTTTGTGTGCTGAGGCGTGTTAGGACTGATCTAACAGAGGGAGGTGTTTCACTGAGGAACTGGTTTGGGCGATGCTTCTGAAAGCACACTTCTCCTGTGGAGACATGCCCTCTTTTTATTCGAATCATAATAATAATGCACGAGGAAGACGAGATATGAAGAAATGTGGATGAACTTTTGACATCAAGGCCTCAGATAGTACAACCCCATTTCCAAAAAAGTTGGGACGCTGTGCAGAATGTAAATAAAAATAGAATGCAATGATATACAAATCATAAAAACTATTTTAAAGGAAAAAACTACAAAGACAACATATCAGATGTTGAAGCTGAGAACATTTATTGTTTTTTAAAATATATGCCCACTTTGAATTTGATGCCAATAACACGTTCCAAAAAGTTAAGACGGGAGCATGTTTACCACTGTGTTTCATCATCTATTTTTAACAACACTATATAAGAGTTTGGGAACTGAGGAGACCGACTGCTGTAGTTTTGGAAGTGAGATGTTTTCTTGTTCTTTTATATAGGATTTCAGCAAACCCGTGTGCAAACTGAGAAACATGGAATGAGTAAGTGGTCAGAAAAAAAGGCTACATAATTGTAAATTTAGCTAGAGTCTCTAACTGTACGTGACTAAGGTGGAGATTCTGTCAGGATTCCTCATGGCTTTTCCAGTTACCGCTGGGGTTTATAAATTCACAGCACTGCTGTTATGAACACAGCCAATTAGAAGAGTTACCACCTTTTGTTTCCCTTGTAGGTTCGTCAGGACCAGGATGAAGAAGCGAAGAAGCTCTCTCAGCTCCGCGACTCTCTCAGGAGTCAGCTACAGGTGGATGGCAAAGAGGCAAGTTCAACCAGGACTACAGCTCCCAGCATGCATTACTTTACTCTTTGCCACAGGTGTAGGGCTGTTAACCCTAGAAGTTGTGATGATGACGTGGTGGTGTTGGTGTGGTGGTCGTGATCGTAGTGATGGTGGTAATGATGATGATAATGGAGTGATGATCATAATGATGGTGATGTTAATGATGATTTTAATAGGATGATGGTTGTGGTATTAGTCATGGTAATGATGTTGAAGAGGAAGATGATGGGGTGGTGATGATTATGGTGATTTTAATGATGATTTAGATAGTAATGAGGATTGTGGTAGTCATGATGGTGATGGTGATAGTGATGATAAGGAAAACGGTGATGATAGTAATCATGAGGATGATGGTGATGGGGAGATGGAGGAAAATCATGATGGAGAGATTGATGATTTCAACAGTAATGATGGTGGTGATGATAATAGTGATGGTTATGATGTGATTGTAATCATGGTGATGTCACAATGGTGATGATGAGGGTGATAGTGATAATGATATTGGTGGTAATGATGGTGATGAGGAGGAGGATGATGGTGATGGTGATATTGGTGGTAATGACGGTGATGATAGTAGTCATGATAATCAATAGTGATGTAATAATGGGGTTATGATGGTCATGGTCAGGATCATGATGGTGATAAGGAGGATGATGGTAATGATGATGATGCTGATAGTGATGATGTTGATGGTGATGGTCGTGATGATGGTGATATTGGTGGTAATGGTGATGATAGTAGTCATGATAATGGTGAATGGGAGAATGATTATGGTAATGATGATGCCAATAGTGGTGTTGATGATGGTGATGGTAGTGATGATGGTGATATTGGTGGTAATGATGGCGATGATGGTTGTCATCATGATGATGAGGAGGAGGATGTAATGATGGTGATATTGGTGGTAATGGTGATGATAGTCAAAATTATGGTAAATGGGAAGATGATGATGGTAATGATGATGCTGACAGCGATGATGATGGTGTTGGTAGTGATGATGGTGATATTGGTGGTAATGGTGATGATAGTAGTCATAATGATGGTGATGAGAAGATGATGATGGTACTGATGCTGACATCAATGTTGATGATGGTGATGGTAGTGATGGTGGTGATATTGGTGGTAATGGTGGTGATGATGTGATAGTAGTCATGGTGATATGATCGTGATGATGAGGGCAGTAGTGATGATGATATTGGTGGTATTCATGATAATGCTGATGATAAGAAGGAAGAGGATAATGGTGATGGTGATATTGGTGGTAATGATGTGATGATAGTAGACGTGATAATAGTGATGTAATGATGGGGTGATGATGACACCATGGTGTCATGGTGCTCATCATGATGGTGATAAGGAGGATGATGGTATTGATGATGCTGATAGTGATGATGTTGATGATGGTGATGGTAGTGATGGTGGTGATGATGGTAACGATGATAGTAGTCATGATTATGGTGAAAGGGAGGATGATGATGGCAATAATGATGCCAATAGTGATGTTGACGATGGTAATGGTAATGATGGCGGTGATAGTGGCGGTAATGATGGTAATGATTGTAGTCATGATGATAATGAGGAGGAGGATGTGATGATGGTGATATTGGTGGCAATGATGATAGTAGTCATGATTGTGATGAGAAGAAGGATGATGATGATGGTGGTGGTGATATAAATGATGATAGTCATGATAATGATAATGGTAATGATGGGGTGATGATGATGTTCTTCCTCTTTTCAGGAATACTTGAACAGGAAGAATTCGGGCCATGGCTACAGTATCCACCAGCCACAGGGCAATAAGAAGTACGGCACAGAAAAATCCGGGTTCTTGCTGAAAAAGAGTGACGGGTGAGGAGATGACTTGGCTTATTTGCTTCTTTTCCGAATCTCTTGAAGCCAAATGTTCATGTTCTTGTTTGTTGAGTCAGGGAGGTTTGGCCTTGAGCAGTGGGGGGACGGGGGGAGTCAGGGTTGTACCGCTGGAAGTGCAGCTTTTTGTGCGTGTCAGACTCAGCTGTTCTTCATTAAGTCTGGTTTGAACTCTGGCTGAGTTCTAGACTCGTACACTCTCAAAGCCAAACCCACTACAGCACACAAACAGCACTCGAGTCTCTCTGATCTCTCAGTGGAAGGATGGGAACGTACTGAGACCTGATCATTCAAACTTTTGCTGACTCATAAACTATATGGCCCACAAACACCACTTTGTGCTCTAACACTGCTGTCTTCACCTCTTTTTGAATCTGCTGCCTCACTGAAAGGGAAGATTATGCGCAATTAGCATGGTCTGATTATAATGTGTTGTTTTTTCAGTTTTTGGATGACAGAGTTAAGTTTTTCAGTAATAAGCAGTTGCACTGGCTTTTGTGGTCAGATCAGCTAGCAGAGATGTCAGATCGTCCTCTTTTTCTATCTCGGGATTCAGTTATTTTTGGGAGCACATTCAGTTTAGATTCTGCTGTAAGTGGTGTTTTTAAATGCTGAAGGGTGTAATACAGTCTTACCCAAAGTTTGGGCTCCCCGATCCAATTCCATGTTGTCGTTGACATCCTCTACAGAGAACACACTTCTGCACATTTTAATACACAATTACTTTTGTTTGCCAAGTTTTACTTACTGGAAAAAATAAAACATAAAAAATGGCCTGTGCAAAATAAAATGTAAGTTTTTTTTTCTATTTTCTGCAATTTTAGTGCACAATTTCTGTTGATTTGCACTAAACATTGCAGAAAATGTTGTATTTAAGTGTTATTTTCACTCAGAAAAGCAACAAAATGTGTAAATTGACCAGGAGTGTTCAGATTTTTGCAGACAGCTGTATGCTTGTAGACACTAGATGCTTTTTGTTTAAGATTGCCACTCAGCAGTCAGCTTGCTATGATGTCATCAAAGTCTATTGTCAATAGTGGTAGTTCCCTAGATATTAACCCTCAATCCTGAGCCATAAAGTCTCTATTTCTAATATCTCTATTTCCATTATTCTTTCATTCATAACCTGATTTCTCAATACTGTGTTTATTTTTATATGGAAAGAATATCTAACAAAGCTGACAGTTCATAGATTTTAATATTTTTTATCTCCAGTTCCACATGCTGATCTATTTTACTGACCAACATGGACATGCACGCTCACTGGCTACTCTAGCTGCAGATTTTAACCAGTTAAAGTAGACAAACATAAAGACTAGGGTGAGCAAACTCACACCATAGGGAACTAGGGCTCGGTTTGAGACACAGCCTCATACAGATAGACTTTCGTGCTGAACTGAACTCTTGGGTGGTCGGAAATGTGGGCTCCATGCTTCCTTTTCACTCCCTCAAAAGAAAGTCCCACCAAGAAAGAACAAACGATGACTCATCAGGGCAGATGAGTTTGTTTTAGTTCTTCATCAGTGCTGTGTAATTTCTGCCGTTGACGACTGAAGAAGGCGCTCGTTATGTTGTTGTAATAAAAGTCATCTTCCTGCTTGACTGGGGATTTGAGGCTGTTAAGATGTTGGTCGTCGTGGTGATGTGTTTGGGAGGCAACGTTTCCATAGTGATTTTCTTTTGTTTTGCAGGATCAGGAAGGTGTGGCAGAAGAGGAAGTGCGGGGTCAAATATGGCTGCCTGACCATCTCACACAGCACGGTGACCACACACAAACACACACACACACACACACACACACACAGTGACCTCATACGTTTCTTTAGGAAACGATTCGGTACATCACAAAATTTCAAATTTCACCGTCATGTAAGTTTAGTAGCTATTTTGAAATGTGCTTGTTAACTGACCGTATATCATTCTTCTTTTTTATTCAGTTTTGGCACAATGATCCATTTTTTTCCCCATGGAAATGATAGTTATAACAAAAGCAGCACCCTAGCAACCCCCTGGCAACACCATAGCAACCAGCTGGCAATGCCTTAGCAACCACCTAGCAACACCATAGCAACCACCTGGCAACACCATAGCAACCACCTAGCAACACCATAGCAACCACCTGGCAATGCCTTAGCAACCACCTGGCAACGCCTTAGCAACCACCTAGCAACACCATAGTAATCCCCTAGCAATGCTTTAGTAACCACCTGAAATACCATGCACTTTTAAAACAGATGGCTCTTCAAGGGTTCTTTAGAAAAGAAAATGGTTCTATATAGAACCATGAGCACTCAAAGAACCCTATGCATGATTAAAGGGTTCTTTACATCGTGAAAGCGTTCTCCAGTTTGACGAAGAACATGCTATAGATGGTTCTATAAAGAACCCTATTTGAAAAAGGGCTCTATATAGCACCAACAAGTGTTCTACTGTTGTTACAAGCCAAAGAACCCTTTTTTGGTACTATATAGAACCATTTTTCTAAGAGTGCAGCTAACAGACGCTCATAATAGCTAGCATTGCGCTGACTGTTGGTTATAATGTATTATAATAATTAAACTAAACTAATTAAACTAAACATGTCTCTCTCAGATTAACAGGCCTCCCGCCAAACTCAACCTGCTCACCTGTCAGGTGCGGCCCAACCCCGAGGAGAAGAGGAGCTTTGACCTGGTGACCCGTAGGTTGATCTTTTGACCTTTTACCTCCTGCCTTGCCTGACCTCTGTGGCTTTAGCAGAGGGACGAGCAAAGGGCAACTGAGCAGCCCACCATCACAGGAATACCGCACAGCACAAGATTAACCCTCCGACATGTTTACTATACATTGCATTTACACACACACACACACACACACACAATTATTTAAATACCACTGCATAAGTAGACAGTTACTGACACAGTTACACAATGAATCACATTATCGTTTGATTTACATTCAGTTTAAACACCCTTTGTTTTGGTTTGTGGCAAAAGTGTTAAGGATTCTTTGCGCAAAACAAAACTGAACAAACAACACGTACTCATCAAATTCAAATCATAATAAAACGTCTCCTCTTCCATGGACGCACACAAATGTGGTCTGGGTTGAACGTTCAGGAAATGTGTGTGTGTGTGTGTTTATGTGTGTGTGTGTGTGTGTGTTATAATGAGAAGCAGGTGCTGTGACGGGCTGGACTGAGTGTGTGTGTGTGTGTGTGTGTGTGTGTGTGTGTTATAATGAGAAGCGTGTGTGATGAGGGCTTGTCTTGGCCTGTCGTTTCTGCCTACATTCACTTCATTTGTTGTTTTTCCCACATTTCCTCCTCAAATGCTAATTCCATTCACACCCATCTCTCTCTCTTTCTCTCTCTATCTCTCTCCCTCTCTCTCCCTCTCCCTCTCTCTCCCTCTCTCTCTCTCTCTCTCTTTCTCTCTCTATCTCTCTCCCTTTCTCTCCCTCTCTCTCTCTTTCTCTCTCTCTCTCTCTCTCACAGATAATCGTACGTATCATTTCCAGGCAGAGGATGAGCAGGAATGCATGATGTAAGGATTCATTTCCCTCCAAAAGACCATGCACTCAAAAACTTACACACTCAAACTCTCCCTCTCTCTCTCTCTCTCTCTCTCTCTCTCACACACACACACACAATGAATTAAGACATGCAAGATAATTTGAAAAATAAGTTTAAGCGAAAAAGTCAAATTTACCAAGTTCTTGCCCCTTTACCATGCAACGAACAATGAAACCAAGAAAATGGGTGTAGAGGAACCATGGAGATGATCACTGTGTAACTATGGAAATGAACAGTCACTGTGTAACCATGGAAATGAGTATGTCATAACCATGGAAATAAGTGTAGTTTGTGTAGACATGGTGTGGCATCACCATGAAAATGTGTGATGTAGATCAGGATTTCTCAGCCACTGGGCTGAGGACCGCAAGTGGGCCGCAAAGCACCCCTTGGTGGTCCTTGGACCTGTACTAGGAGGGCCGGTGGTCTTTTGGACCTGTACTGGGGGCCAGTGGTCCGTAGTGGGCCTGTGATGGCACTTTGTCATGAAAATCAGTGAAAACAAATGGACTTAACAATTAAAAAGAAATATAAAATGTATGACAGTTAACAACATTAATACAAGCCCCACAATAACAGTGCACAAAGGCAGCTTAGTCAGTTTTTTGACCTTTGCCTCGAGAAACACGTGACCTTTCAGCTATCCACTCACACCAATATTCTGCTGATATTTCCTGTTCACTGATACACATCACATATTGCAAGAGTAGGCCTCCACAAATAACTGTGAAGAAATGTAATTTTCCAAAAATTACATTTCTAAGCAAAAATGTTGTTTTGTTTTCTTGTGGGCCTTCATGCTTTCTAGTAATAAACAGGTGGGCCTTGAGGTGGAAAAGGTTTAGAACCTCTGACATAGAGTAACCGTGGAACTTATTGGAGGACAGACCTATGGAAAAAAGTGTATTGTTACGGTGGAAATGAGTGTATGACCATGACCATGGAAATGAATGATGTAGAGGAGGTAACCATGGAAATTGGTGTGGGGTAACCATGCAAGTTCATATAGAGTAACCACTGAAAATGAGTGCAGCAATAACCATGGAAATAGGTCTAGAGAAACCACAGAAACAAGTGTAGCCTATTGATCAATGTTTGTATTAATGTGAGTGGTGTAGTTGTAATTCAGATGGATTTTAATCAGTCAGCCCATGTTATGATTTTATTTCTATCACCCCCAGTGTACACTGTGCATATGACGTCTGCTAAAGCTAGTATAGATAAAAAGTAATGGGAGTGTGTACCCCACCAATTAGCCTGGTGCTAACAGCACACACTCTCCTCAAAGCGTGTGGAGGTGTTCATTATCTCTAATGAAGTTTATTATGAGGTTTCTGACACTGTGCGATACACTGTAAACATGGGATAGATTGCAGACACAGTTCAGGCTTGAAATGGCTTTTTTTAACTTTTATTTTGGGAATAATAAGGTGCAGTTTTGTTTCTCTCTCTCTCTCTCTGGCTCTGTAGCTGGGTGTCGGTGCTGCAAAACAGTAAGGATGCTGCGTTAAACACGGCTCTGGGTGGTGATGAGCTGCAGTGGGGGAGTGGCCTGCAGGACCTGTCTCGCTCCGTCATCGCCGGACTCCGAAACCTGCCAGGGAACGAGGTCTGCTGCGACTGTGGAGCTCCAGGTACACACACACACACACACACACCACACACACACACCACACACACACATTCATACACTTTACCAACACATTGCTCTGAATAACTATCCTTTCTAAGTTGTAAAAGCAAATTGGGTAAAAAGTACAAGGTAGGTGTCTCTAATAAAGTGGCCAGTTAGTGTAACCTCAAGGTATGTGTTTCTATTAAAGTGGCCAGTGAGTGGAAGTTCAAGGTAGGTGTTTCTAATAAAGTGGCCAGTTAATGGAATCTCAAGGTATGTGTTTCTAATAAAGTGGCCAGTGACTGGAACTATAAGGTAGGTGTTTCTAATAACGTGGTCAGCGAGTGGAAGTATAGGTGTTTCTAATAATGTGGCCAGCGAGGGGCAGTGGTCATTTAAACATAATGGCAGGCAGTGAAGCAATAGTGGCTTGTTTGGTTAAAGACACCAATCAGCAGACACTGTTACTGAAAACAATTTTACAGCAGTGCAATTGTAGTGACCTTTGGACAGGACAGCATTCACATACCATAGTGATTCATTCATGATGGAGTTTAAGAGCCCAATAAAACAGTATTGTGTCTCCAGTTTGTTTACTGTTTTTCTTGTTAGTAAACACACATCTTGGCTCTGTCCAGGGTGATGTTTGACCTTTAGAGCTTTTCTTGTTTGTTAATGCCAAATATGCCTTTAGTCTCTGTGTTTTCTCAGCTGGTCTTCATTTTCTCTGTTAAATGGAAGCTGGAGGGTATGTCCAGTAGAAACTCTTCTCTTTAGACAGGCTTGAGTTGAGGGTTAGGCTATTGGTTAATTCAGAAATTTGTGAAATAGCCCACTGATCTCTAAGCACCAATCCTTCTCATTTTTATGTATTATTATTGTTTCAGACTGTGTAGTGTTGTTGTTTATCTGTGGATCTTTCTCATTTCCTCTTTAGAGCCCAGCTGGTTGTCCACTAATCTGGGCATCCTGACCTGTATCGAATGTTCTGGAATCCACCGAGAGCTCGGAGTGCATTACTCACGGATACAGTCACTCACACTCGACATGCTGAGCACATCAGAGCTGCTGGTAAACACCACAGACATGTGCACTAGAGTTGTATATGACATGGACTTACATACACATACAGTGCATAAATACTCCCATCAGCCATAACACTAAAACCACCTACTTGCATCAACACTCATTGTCCATTTTATCAGTTCCACTGACCATATAGGAGCACTTTGTAGTTCTGCAGTTACAGACAGTAGTCCATCTGTTTCTCGATACTTTGTTACCCTGTTCTTCAATGGTCAGGACCCTCACAGAGCAGGTATTATTTGGGTGGTGGTCATTCTCAGCACTACAGTGACATTGACGTGGTGTTGGTATGTTAGTGTGTGTTGTGCTGGTGCGAGTGGATCAGACACAGCAGTGCTGCTGGAGTTTTTAAACACCTCAGTGTCGCTGCTGGACTGAGAACCAAAAACATCCAGCCAACAGTGTCCTGTGACCACTGATAAAGGACTAGAAGATTACCAACACACACAGTGCAGCAGCAGATGAGCTACTGTCTCTGACTTTACATCTACAAGGTGGACAAACAAGGTAGGAGTGTTTAATAGAGTGGACAGTGAGTGGACACAGTGTTTAAAAAAATCCAGCAGCATTGCTGTGTCTGATCCGCTCGTACCAGTACAACACACACTAACGCACCACCACCACGTCAGTGTTGCTGCAGTGCTGAGAATGACCCACCACTCAAGTAATACCTGCTCTGTGGGGGTCCTGACCATTGAAGAGCAGGGTAAAAAAGTATTCAGAGAAACAGATGGACTACAGTCTGTAACAGTAGAACTACAAAGTGCTCTTCTGTGGTCAGTGGAGCTGATAAGCTGGACAGTGAGTGTAGATACAAGGAGGTGGACTGCTGTGTAAAAGAGTCTTATGTTGTGTTTACATGTTGGCATTGAAATGCCAAGCCTGCATTTGCCTTCACTCTTCTAGCACTGGTGGTATCATGTGATTGGGGAAGTCTTAACTAGTGGGTGGAACTGGATACAACTAAATTGGTGAGAAAATTGGGGGGAAAAAAAAGATCAAATTTAAGTGCTTTGCAGAGATAAAAATGCTGAAGAAATGAAAATGCTGAATTGCTAAGATAACATGCATTGCTAAACAAAGGCACAAGAAACAAGAACATCTGCACCTGTATTTCTGACAAAGTCAACATCTGGTTTATCCCACTTGTTTTTTTTTTGTTATTATTTTTCCCCCAATTTATTTGTTGTATCCATTTCCACCCACTAGTTAGGACTCCCCCAATCACACGATACCACCAGTGCTAGGAGGGCGAGGGCTAGCACAGGCTTCCTCCAAGACCTGTGAAGCACATCAGCATTTTTTCAAACTGCTGCTCATGCAACATCACTGGACAGCTGAACACACTTGGAGGAGAACACTAATCAACAGTTATGTCAGCTAACAGACGCCTGCGCTGGCTAGCATCGCGCTGAGTGATGGGGGAGAAGTGCCCACTCAGAGAGAGCGAGGCCAGTTGCTCTCTTGGACTCCTGGCCACGGATGGCTGTAGCATCACCAGGGATCGAGCTTGCGATCTCCTGATGACAGAGCCAACTCAAGATAGAACGTTGGTGGCAGAATTTTGCCATACAGAAAAATGGAATTTCCAGTTTGTTGTTGTTCATCTGCTGCCAATATGTAACAGCAGAAAGGAAGAAAAGCAGGAAGAAACCTGTCTGTCTGTTTTGTGTTGTATAAGATTGAGAATTAATGGTTCACCGATTTGTGTTCTGATGTTGTGTCTTCACAGCTGGCGGTCAGTATCGGTAACAGCAGGTTTAATGACGTTCTGGAGGCCAACCTTCGAGACGACTCAATAAAACCTTTACCAACCAGTAACATGTGAGTTTCAGAACACAGGTGTTTGGGGGGGTGGATGGGTCAGTATGACTAGAAGTTGCTAGAAAACTAGACACTTAAAAAAGATGGAAAATTGTTCTATATAGAATCTTGAACACTCAAAGAACGCTTTGCGTGATTAAAGCGTTCTTCGCATCATGAAAGGGTTCTTCAGATTTATGGAGAATGTACATGAATGTGCTATAGATGGTTCTAAATAGAACCTTTTTGAACATGGTTCTATATAGCACCCAAAAGGGTTCTTCTGTTGCTGCAAGCTTGACATCGTAACAATAGAGGAACCTTCTTGGGTACTATAAAAAGCCATTTTCAGAAAGGTTCTATATAGAACCATCCATCAGTCTGAAGAACTTTTTCCATGACGCAAAGAACCCTTTAATCACGCGAAGGGTCCTTTGAGTGTTCATGGTTCTATATAGAACAATTTTCTTTACTAAAGAACCCTTTAAGCACCCTCTTTTTAAGAGTTTACTTCCCTATAATCTCAGTTCTTGTCAGTAAGAATTTCAGATTCTGCAATCAAAGTTTGTAAGGCTTTTAATATAAAAATATCAACATAATTAAAAAGCGGGAAAATTATTTGGACAGCAAATTAGGGTTAAGACTAATACTGTCACCTCAAATCAGAGCCAAAAACAATGTAAACACTCTTAAAAAGATGTTCCTTTAATGGTTTTGTGCCTAAAGGATTGTTTGCATGGTGAAATGGTTCTTGAGACTGGTGGAGAATGTGTTGTATATGGTTCTATATAGCAACAAAAACAGTTCTGCTTGTGTCGAGCTTGTATACTATAAAAGAACCCTTTTTGGTGCTATATAGAACGGTGTTCAAAGGGGTTCTATACAGAACCAAATATGACCACACACACTTCATTACAAGAGATAACAGATATCTTTCTGATTTGATTAAAGTATTAGTAAAAGTATTGATCATTCAAATGATTCAGCTGTTTTTTTTTATTATTTGAATTCACTGAGTAACAATTCCATTTATATATATATATATATATATATATATATATATATATATATATATATATATATATATATATATATATATATATAAAATATGTTGGGCTCAATATCTGAATAATCTGAGAGGATAATCTTCCTCCCTCAGCGTGGTTGGGTAAACATCTGTGTGTTTGTGTGTATATGCGCATGTCAGGAATGCACGTAAGGAGTACATCATGGCCAAGTACGTGGAGAGACGCTACGTGCTGCCTAAAGAACAGTCGGAGCCTCTGCGTGTGTACGACACTATAAAGTCCAGAGACATCACAGCTTTACTGCAGCTTTACGCTGAGGGGCAGGACCTCTCCAAACCTGCCCACATACCTGATCAGGTAACACACACAAGTCAACTTTGAGTTTTTCTGATAGGAACCAGACGTCCACCTCTAAAAGCTCCCTCACAGAAAGTTATTACATGAAATGGTTATAAATACACTGCCTGATATCTGAGTCACTGTTTTATGGTAGGTTTGAGAAGATTTTGGCCTTAAAATCCATTCATGGTGGAGAGATACATAATATGAAGGGCACTGTGAGGCAAAATAGTCCCCAAAGAAAACTTATTATTTCAGATTTTCCACTATTTTCCCATCATTAGCATTCCACGTAAAAATCAGAAGACACGTGTAGGTTCACTGGTTGTTTTGGATAGTAAATAAAATGTCTCTATTTGTGTTGTAGTCATGGCGACCCCTGGTTCCTTTCACCACCACTGTAAAGAAATCTGAACCATTTCACACCAAACCACTCAGAATCATCTCACAGGCTGAATTATGTTTGTGACAGTGGAATAAAGCCAAACTTTACCCTGTTGTTGTGATGTCACTCATCAGCACTTCAACCCTTCAAGTGTTTAAACCACCTTTGAGCCAAAAAAGTTTCAGTATGTGCTTTTAACAGTATTTTGGAAAAGAAAACAATATATTCATCGTTTAAAATTCAGTGACAGCTGGTTCTGTTCTGAAATTCAAATATAGCACAATACAGGAGTGTCATGTTATGTTGTACAGCCTGTAATGTGCATCACCTCCATATCATCATTAAGGTTAATGAGGTGTTCTGAATGTAGTTATGTTACAGCTGAAGTTTGGGGGGGAGGTGCATAGCCAAAACCCCTCCCTCTTCCAATCTAACGCCCTATAAATTCACATCCTCACTTTCCGTTCTCATGACGAAGGGTTTGCAATGCCCATCACCACCCCATCTCCTCCCTGTTCCTCAGTCCTGCATCAGTCCTACTACAGCTATGAGGGGGGATCTCATACAGAAGGCTCACAGACAGAAGCCGCCCAGAACTTCATCCCAAGTTCTCATTGTTCTCCCCCTCCCTCAATCAGTGTTCCCTCATACTACCACCACCATGTTGAGGGTTGTCCTTCATTAGACTACACATCACTGACCAGCTAGCTTTCTAGCAACCAGTGATCTCCTGTTTTCGGTAGCAGAACCATGTCTGCTAGTCAGTAGATCAATTTTAAAAAGGCAAAGTGGGTAAATAACAGTAGATTCAAGTCAAGTCAAAGTTTATTTATATAGCACTTTTTACAACAGGTGTTGTCACAAAGCAACTTTACAGAAAAATCCAGGTTCGAGCCCCCATGAGTGTCGCCAATGGTGACAGTGGCAAGGACAAACTCCCTAAGAGCAAGAGGAAGAAACCTTGAGAGGAACCAAGACTCAAAAGGGGAACCCAGCCTCCTCTGGTCCACACCGGATAGCAAACAATAACAGCAGATTCACTGACTAGCTAGTTAGTAGCTCCTCTCCAAAGTCAGCTAGCTATCATTTTAATATGTGTACGAAAAAGGACACTTTCAAATGTGTAGTCAGAACTTTCTGAGTATACCTGTGGAAGAAATAGCTAGCTATGTTTATCGTCGCTGTCCCTTGTACCTTTTTTTGTAATTTTTCACTTTTTGACATGATACGAAACCTTTACATTGTGTCAAAATTCCATGATAAATGCACCAATAGAAACACTCCAAACTGACTTGGAATAAATAAATGCTAAAAATACAGCTGACTGGCAGTTATGATGCTTGTGTCAGCGAGAAGAAGTGAAGACAATAAAGAAACAACCTTCAAAAATAGGAAAACTTGAAAGAAATGCTTTCTTCTTTTTTAGCTTTAGGAAAAGCTTTCGGTGTGATCCGTCTCTTACGGTCAGCGTGTGGAGTGGGCTCCCGTCGGGTTAGTCACTCGGGTGTTCTGGAGATAAAACCTTCATCATGGTTGTTGGGGAGGGTTGAGGTTTAGGGGAGGGGGGCTGCTGTGCACCAAATTTCGTCTTAAATCAGTGTGTGCTTGGCGTAGGAGGGTGTGATTTACGGCTCAACTGCTTCTAGTAGATGCTTTTCAGTGCAGTCATTCATTAACGCCAGACATGGTAATGACATCACTTCCCTTACTGTTACACTCTCTCTCTCTCTCTCCCTCTCTCTCTCTCTCAGTCCTTTAATCCCGCGTTTCCTCTCCTTCCTTCGTCTCTAATCAGATCTGTTTTGGCCTCCTCCACTCGAGGGCCGCGGAATCCCACCGCAGCGCGTGCGTGTTTATTATTGTAAGACTGAGTTTTGAGGCTGTGGCGATCTAAAGAGCTCAGACTGGGTCAAAAAATGACTTTTTTGTTTTTTTTCTTTCGTCCCCTCATTCACCCTCTCATTCTTATTCATGCTCTGTCTCACTCTGTTGTTCTTGCTTTTCTTTTCTCATTTTCTTTTTTTTTTTCTCTCAATTTCGCTCTCTGACTTTGCCCTCTTTCTCTTCTTCTTCCTTTCTTTTCTTTCTTTCTTTCCTCTTTATTTTACACTTTCCCTGTTTTTTTCTTTTTCTTTCCCTCTTTTCTTTCCTTTCTCTCTCTTACTCTCTCTCTTTGACTTGCTTTCTTTTCCTTCTCCTTTCTTTCTTTCCTCTTTTATTCGCTCCCTTTGTTTTTTCTATTTCTCTTTTCTTTGGCTCTATTTATCTTTTGCTCACTCTTTCTCACTTTGACTTGCCCTCTTTGCTTCTTTCTTTCTTTCCTCTCTGTTTTACTCTCTCCCTCTCTGTTTTTTCTCTTTCTTTCCCTCTTTTCTTTCGCTCTATTTATGTTTCTCTCACTTGCACTTTTTGACTTGCCCTCTTTTTCCTTTTTTCTTTCTTTTGTTCCTCTATTTACCTTTCTCTCATTTCCTCTTTTTTTCTCTCTTTGACTTGCCCTCTTTTCCTTCTCTCTCTCTCTCTCTCTCTCCCTCTCTCTCTCTCTCTCTCTCTCTAGGATCTGAAGGAGACTCCTCTCCATCTGGCAGTGCGTTTGGCAGAGAAAAGTTCTCTGGCTCTGGTTGATTTCCTCACACAGAACTGGTGAGTTTTAAGTGTGGTTGTAGTTTAGTCTTACCTTTGCTTTTTACCTTAGTGTCCACCTGGAACACCTGAGAAACACTGAATCTCATTTTAATATCTAATTTTAATGAAATCCATTAATTCATAAATGCAGTTTGGCATCTCAGCCTCTTGGAGTGCATATTGCTACTGAACAACAGTTTAAGCGCTACCTTTTAAACGTGACTATAAATAAACACACAAAAGAGAGACTGTATGCTTCATAGTCTGTCTGGAGACTCTATTATTGTCTATATTTTTGAGATTTTACTGTTTATGGTGGGCAAGTTAGCCCACCACCGGTTATATAATCTATGTGTGTGTGTACATATATATATATATATATATATATATATATGAGTAGGCTGAGTTAGGGTACTTTAAGGCCCACTCCCATTTCTTACTTTTACCCCTACCCTTTGTTTTCAAGTGTCACCTCGCCCCTTGGCTGAAATCTTTGAAATGGGACCCTCAAATAAAGAAGATCATTAGTTCATTAACAGCTTCTAGTGCTGCTCTGTAGGCGACCCTGCCGGTCTGCAGTGATAGCAGAGGAGGGTAAAGTTCAGCTCCTTACTGCTGGGCTTTAGTTACATTTAGGGCATTATATAACTTTAAAAGAGGGACAATTATTTATTATTAAGGTGGAACGAGAAATTTAACTAGCTACCAAGACATCAGCATAGTATGAATGCTTGATATGAAGAAAATGACCATAATACACTGAAGTGACATTAAACTAAGATAGTATAATGGTTATTGTCATTTTTTAACAGAGAAAATTCTCACATTTGTGTGTTTCTTTGGTCGCTTGTGCTGGTTTTTCTTTTTTTCTCCTAACACTCTGTTTGGAGTGTGTCTCTGAAAAACCTCCATCTAGAGGGTCATGTAGCTCTTACACTTCGCCCAGAGACATCTACACTACCCCTCAACAGGAATCAGGACACCCTTACCCCTAGGCGTGAATGTGCAAAACGGAGTGGTCAGGGCTAAGTGGTAGGGGTGAGGAGTGAAATGGGATTGGGCCTAAGTATGCCGTGTTCTTTGTGTGCACTGTGGCGTTACCCTCTGAAATCTTATGTTTGTGTGTTCCTCACAGTGGCTGTCTAGAGAAAAAGACAGTGGAAGGGAACACAGCTCTACACTACAGTGCGACGTACAACAAACCTGAGTGTTTAAAACTGCTGCTGAAGGGGAAAGCTACCTTACACACAGGTACACACACAAACACACCCACACAGACACACAAACACACACATTTACATTCCACTCCACCTCACTGGTGTACAGTTAGACTGTCACTCACCTGTTCATGGACAGGTTGTGTTGTCTGTCATTCAGCCCATACATGTCAAACACAAGGCCTGCAAGCCTCATCAGGCCCGTGGTGAAATCCTATCCGGCCCACAAAATTATTTACATTTTCTATTAATATTAGTATATACACATTTAAATACAGTGGTCAGCTCGGGTCACAGGAAAATGTTGAAAAATGTTGATTAAAAATGAAATAAAAACATGCACGTCCTCTGGCCCACAGATTTGTTGAGATTTTTTAATATGGCCCTTCTAGTGGTTGTGTTTGACGCCCCTGCTCTAGCACTTCATCAGTAGTCAGTTTCTGACCACAGAGCTGCTCCTATCTGGTCATTTTTGGGTGGCCGGTCCGCTCTCAGCCTAGCAGTGACACTGACATGCATAAAAACTCCTGCAAAAACTGCTGTGTCTGATACACTTATACCAGCACCACGCACACTACCATGTCAATGTCACTGCTGTGCTGAGAATGGACCACCACCTGCTTAGTATCTGGACAACAGCAGTCTTGTGGTCAGAAAATGACCAATGATGAGTGGAGGAGGGCTGATAAACTGTGCAACAGCCCAACAGATGGGCTACAGTCTGTAACTGTACATCTACAAAGTAGAGCTTAGTGTTTCTAATAAAGTGGCCAGTTAATTGGAAATATATAGTAGGTGTTTCTAATAAAGTGGCCAGTTAGTGGAAATATATAGTAGGTGTTTCTAATAAAGTGGCCAGTTAGTGGAAGTACAAGGTAGGTGTTTCTAATAAAGTGGCCAGTTAGTGGAAGTATATAGTAGGTGTTTCGGATGAAGCAGAAACAGGTAATGGACACAGGTTAAAGGGTAAAAGGTTCTTTTCGTTTTTTGTTAACTTGCTCTCCTTCTCATCTTCAGTGAACTCAGCTGGTGAGACTGCGCTGGACATCGCTAAGAGACTGCAGCACTCACAGTGTGTAGAGCTGGTGCGTTTGACCTGACATTATCTGCTCCACCTACATGACACAGTGTGTCATAAACCTAAGTGAAAAAACTGTAATGGCACTTACTGAAACCAAACAAAGGTGCACAGTGCCACCTAGTGTTCTAGAGTAGCACTTATTTAAAGCTAAAGCCTTCGCTGCTAATACCAGATCAAGGAACGGTGCCAGACTTGTGAAGCTGAAACAGAACCTGCTTGGGTTTGACCTGCAGCTGTAGTTTGACTTTTAGTTATTACTGTCATTTTCATATACTACTTAAGTGTAATAACAAATAATATGAATAATGGCAGTTACATATTGAATCACATTTACATTGAATTACATATACATCGGCAGGTTTGAATCAGCCCTTCTGAATTTTTTTGTCAAAAAATGACAATAAGGTGTCAAAAAACTTATACCTTCTCCTCTACTTACAAACACAACTGTGGTATGCATTGAAAGAGTTGAATCTGCATGTACAACACAATTTCTCCACTTGTTTTACTACTGAGATATAAAAGTACAGTATACATTCATTATTGCTGACGATAACTGCACCTTCTAAGGGTTAATGTGAGAATCACAGCTGCAGTTCTAAACAGACTGTCTCTGTCTCTGTGTTTGTATGTGTGTCTGTATTCAGCTGGAGCTGGCTCACAGTGGGAAGTTTAACTCCCAGATCCATGTGGAGTACATGTGGGAAACTCCGCAGGACATGTACGACAGCGAGGATGACCTGGACGAGAGGGTTTGTATCCTACACTTTTTACATGAACCTTAAATAACAATGAATATGAAATGCCTTAACTTGTACTTTCACTCACTGGCCACTTTATTAGAAACACCTACCTTGTGCTTCCACTAACTGGCCACTTTATTGGAAACGTCTACTATATACTTTAACTAACTGGCCACTTAATCAGAAACACTTACCTAGTGATTCCACTAACTGGCCACTTTATTAGAAACACCTACTATATACTTCCACTAACTGGCCACTTTATTAGAAACATCTGCCTTGTGCTTCCACTCACTGGCCAGTTTATTAGAAACACCTACCATGTACTTCCACTAACTGGCCACTTTATTAGAAACACCTACTGTATACTTCCACTAACTGGCCACTTTATTAGAAACATCTGCCTTGTGCCTCCACTAACTGGCCACTTTATTAGAAACACCTACTATATATTTCCATTAACTGGCCACTTTATTAGAAACACCTACTAAGTACTTCCACTAACTGCCCTTTTTATTAGAAACATCTACCTTGTGCTTCCACTTACTGGCCACTTTATTAGAAACACCTACCTTGTGCTGCCTCTCATTGGCCACTGCTGAAACACATACTTTATAGGGCCACTATGCAGGTGTACAGTTATACAATGTAGCCCATCTTTTCGGATGTCAGTGTCACTGCAAGGTTGAGAGTGGAGCGTCCACCTAGAAATATCCAACCAAAAGCAGCTTTGTGGGCCAAAGGATAGCCAACACAAACTGAGCATCAACAGATACATTAGAGCTAAAGTCTCTAACTGTACACCAGCAAGGTGGAGGGGTTTCTGATAAAGTGGCCAGGAAATGTTTTGAGTTTAGAGCTGAGCAAATATGGGGTACACAAATATGCAAAGAAGAATAGTTTGATGTTAAAACTAACAAAAATAAATACTTTTACTTCATTTGTCAGTGTGAAATTTGAAATATGTTCAATAAAGTGTTTTTCACATATGCTTGAATGACTATACAGTCTTAAATCACCCTAAATGATCCGACATCCAAAAACCTGGTTTGTTTTTTTCTCGTCACGTGTTTTATATCTGTATTGTTGATGCAGGTCAGCCCACCCAGAAGCCTGCGCTCTCCTCTGCCCCCTGCTGTCAGTGGTGGGAATAGCCCCTGGAGTTTCAGCACCAGCGTGACCAATAAAACCTACCAGAATGTGGACTTTCTGTACCGCAACCCGCCGGCCAACAGCGCCCCCTCTGGCGGCTCCACGCCCCCTCCGCTCCCTGCCAAGTCCATACAGAGAGGTCAGTCACTCGCAACAAGCCACTTTGCAATAATAACTGAATAATTCCTGATTAAATATCCTTAATTGTGTTACTGAATAATACACAGTCATTACTGAGAAATTCATAGTCCTTATTGAATAAAATTTACTGACTAATTCATTGTAGTTAATGAATAATTGGTAGTAGACACTGATTTAAATTAGATTTTGAATAATTCATAGTAGTTATGTTAATAACTGCTAATAACCAGCATTAGCAACCCAGCTATTCTTTATAAAGTGAACATTTTAAAAACAGCAATATTAATACATTATTCTAGTTTCCATTGTGGTGCTCTGAGTGTTGATGTAATACTGCTTGGTCATGTTATCCTCACTTGAAGTCGCTAAACTGATTTTCTTCCAATACTGAAGTTTGTATTGTTTACTTCGTGTTGCTGTAGGTCGTTCGGACCCTCAGATCAGCATCTCAGTGCAGGAATCTCACTCCCGCCACAGCTCCAGCTCCTCTGGGGGGTCTTTTAGGAACAGCCCCCCCTCCCCGCTGTCTGAGGCCTCGGGAGCGTTGCCTCGCTCACCCCGCTCTGCCACCGCGCTGAAGAGACAGACGGTGTCCTGGGAGGGACAACCTTTACCAACACACAGCTCCATAGGGCCTGTCGCGTAAGTAGGACTGGTTTCTATGGTTTCAAGGCAAACACTTCCTATGTCTTAAATTGCAGTAGCCCTTTATTATGTAAAAAACCTCATGTAGTTGCACTTGCAAGCACAAATTTGGCCTAAAGACGAGCCTTGGAGTCAACTAGGGGCAGCACGTTAGTACTGTGTATTAGTAGTGTGTTGAAAAACTGTCATTTAAATTATCATCTAAGCTCCATGTGCCAAACACAAGGCCCGCAGGCCAAGTCAGGCCTGTGGCACAATCCTATTCAGCCCACAAAATGATTTTAAATTTTCTATTAATATTAGCCCATGTCACCATCAGCTGCATTACAGTTCCCAGCATTCACTGCAACTTAATGTGTGCTCCCACCCCCTCCCCAACAAGGATCTATGGGACAGCACCACAAAAAAAAACAAAAAAAAAGATGGCAGGTGTCTAGTTTCAAGCAAATGGGCAGTTTTTAAAAACCTTCTGTAGATTGGGGACATTTAAAGAGGTTTAACAGTGATCTGCAGCTAATGTAGTCTGTTGTTTTATATGAAACAACTTGTTTTTATTTAGAATTACTTTTGAATCATGCAGGTATTTAGTGAGTATTTTTTGCTGTTGCAGTTTTGGCATATTTTGAGTTGGGCTCATGGCAAAATGTTAAGTGAAAATAAAATAAAAACACAACTGGCCCACAGATTTGTTGAGATTTTTAATATGGCTCTTTTAGAGGTTGAGTCACCCCTGATCTAAACTGTTATTTTAGAGTTTGAACAAGTTTTCAATAGGAACTAAACTGCTTTTGAAACAATACTGGTCATCCTTGTCATGGTGCTTAGCACTGACATCTAGTGGAGACATCTTGTAAATGCATCTTCAAGTTTGAGTTCATTTTTAAGTGTTTTATGAAGTGAATGACCTGCAAAACTGAAAATATTAAAATGTGATTAACAATGCGTTGCTGTTAGAACAAAACTTCATGTCTCCAAAATGGTTTCTTTTCAGAAGAGGCGAAAAACCTATAGATTCATGTAAAAAAAAAGTAGGTTAATGTAAAAATATTAAAATTTCGGGTCACTCGTCATGAAATATCAAAAACAGCTGGTGTTTTCAAATAATGTTTAAAAAAGAATCTCACATTACATGATGAAATTTCACGTCATGCATCATAAAGGTTTTAACACCCCCAGTTAGACTTGCATTTTAACACATCCTCTACAGAGAACACACTCAAATTGTTCCATGAATATGAGTCTCAGGCAAAAATCAACAAATCATGGAATATGACCGGGGTGCCCAGACTTTCACACATGACTGTATCTAGCTTGTAGCTGCTGTGTGAATCCTGAGTGTGCTACTCTGCTCAGCTCTCTCTCTCTGTGTATGCAGTTCAGAGAAGACCACATCATATCGGAGAACAAGCAGTGGAGGTCAGGGAAAGTCTGTATCCGGTTCTCCAGGTTCGGGTTCTCCAGGTTCCGGAAGCAGCGTGGAGGAACTCTACTGCAGTTTGACCACCAGAACACCTAATGCTAATGCTCAGGCTAATGCTAATGCTAGCCCTAATGCCTCAGTGCCCCTCATACTGCCACCACCACGTTCACGCAAGAACGCCATGGTAACGAACCAAACTCTGCCACTGTTACTGCAACAGTTCAGAAAATCAAGTTTACACCATTTTCAGCCTATCAGTCAAGACGTGTTTAGTTTTTGAGTTGAGCTGTTTAAGCCACACTCATTGCTAACAGAGGAATAAAATCAAACACTTAGTCATGCAATCTCTATAGACAAACACTGGCAGTAGAATGGGTTGTATTGAAGAACCCAGTGACTTTAAACATGGCACTGTTATAGGATGCCACCTTTTCCACCGAAATTTCTGCCCTGCTAGATCTGCCCCAGCCAACTGTAAGTGTGTTTATTGTGAAATGGAAGCGTCTATGAGCAACAATAGCTCAGCCATGACTCACAGAGTGGGGCCACGAGTGCTGACGTAGTGCAAGAAATCTCCAATTCTTTTAATCTGCCTCTGAAAGCAACATCAGCCAAGAACTGTGCATCAGGAGCTTCATTAAGTGGGTTTTTGTGGCCAAGCAGCTGCACACAAGCCTAAGATCACTATGCGCAATGCCAAGTGTCGGCTGGAGTGGTGTAAAGGAGGCCGCCACTGGACTCTGGAGTAGTGGAAACGTCCTCTGGAGTGATGAATCATTCTTCTCTACCTGACAGTCTGATGATGAATCTGATGGATGCCAGGAGAACGCCACCTACCGGAATGCATAGTGCCAGCAGTAAAGTTTGGTGGAGGAGGGATAATGGGCTGGGCTGTTTTTCAGGCCGCTTAGTTCCAGTGAAGGGGGATGTTAATGCTACAGGATACAAAAGACTTTTCACACAATTATATGCTTCCAGCTTTGTGTCAGCAGTTTGGGAAGAACCGTTCCTGTTCCAGCATGTCTGAGTGCCTGTGCACAAAACGAGCTCCGTAAAGACACGGTTTTACCAGTTTGGTGTGGAGGAAGTCCAAATACTAATGGCCATTGTTTGGAAGGGGGTGTCCTACAAACTCATATCGGTGTGATGGTCAGGGGTCCACATACTTTTGGCCATAGAGAGTGGAATAAGCTGGAATGGAACTCTTGGAATAAGCTTTTATCACTGTTCATGTAGCGTAATGCCAGTTGTCGTTACTACTCTTCTACTTCTCTATTAGAATTTATTTAACAATAACACCACACAGTTTGAGGCAATATATGATGATTTATGCATGCAGTTAGCACCATGCTAATTGGTGGGGTGTTAGCTTCCATTACTTGCTAGCTACATTAGCCTCCAGTATAAAACTAACAAAGCACCAAACGTCTTGGCTAACTGAGAACTGGGTAAATTTGATTTTTAACTGAACTATCGCTTTAATTTAGAACGCATTACACGTAAATGTTTTCTGGACTAAAGGGTTTTTATTGTGTGTTTGTCAGTGCTCTGTGAGGCCGCGGCTCAGGAAGGTTCAGGCTTTAGTGGACTGTATGGTGGGCAGTTCTGACCAGCTGTCCTTCTGTAAGGATGATATTATCATAGTAACCGCTGCTGATGATCCACACTGGTGGGTGAGTATCTCATATATCATTGATTTAAATCATTATTTGGATATGACTTATCTTTTATCACTGGTGCAGTTCTGTAGTTTACAGTTTTACTGCTGTTTGCAGGTCGGGCACGTAGAGGGGAAGCCGTCCAAAAGCGGGTGCTTTCCAGTCAACTACGTGCTGAAGTTGGGAGAATGATTCTTCTGGAAATTTCCATCATACCTTCCCAAAACACAACAGTGCTTTCAGCTGAAAAACACCTGCTCCTGCCTGTTAATATGGAAACGCTACCTGACACTCAGCCGGGAGTTACCCAGCAGTAATGTGGGCTGTGGGAGTTCAGCGCTACATGCTAATCCTGACACTTGTGATATCTTTTAATGGAGCTAACGCAGTTTTTTGTGGATTTCTCTTCACGGTACCCACGGTGTGCATGTAGTTTTTTTTATCACTATAACGCTGTTTGGCGCCCCCTACCTGCCATGTATATGCAATTGTAGTTTATTTTGCTAGCAAGCTAATATAGCTACCTTGGCTGATTAAAGGCAGGTGATTTTTGCAACGGTAACCGACAAATCACAAATGGTGAAAGAGTTGAAATCAGTGGTCTTAGAGTGCTTATTGTGCTGTTTGCGCACCAGTGGCTGTTTTAGACCCTTTTTTTTGCAACCTAAGACTGCAACAACGAAGGTGTAACAAAGTGGCTCCACCCACAGCTAGACATCCACCAATAAGATAATGGAATGCCTCAAATTCCACTGAACGGAAAACGGCACGGCTTGAAATCCACCAGTATAAGAAGGGTACAGCTAAACATCCACCAATCAGAGAACAGCACAGCTAAAAACCCACCAATAGGAGATTGGAAAATCTGAAAATCTTCCAGTCAGTGAACATCACAGCTACAAAATCTACCATTAGGAGAACAAGATGGTTACAAAACCACCCCAAAGGAGGACAACGCAGCTAAAAATCCACCAATCAGAAAGCAGCATGGCTAAAAATCCACCAATCAGGGAGCAGCATGGCTAGGAAAAAACATCAATGGGAAAGAAACATGTGAATGATAAAGTGGACTTTATGAAGAGTGGTAATAACGAAGCAGCACTTATTAAAACGTACAGAAAAGCTGTCAAAAGTTTGGGGACATTTTTTCTTTTCTTTTTTTTTTTTCCTCCATTTTTTTCCCTGCAAAAGTTTAGTTCATCATAAAGCTGCTCTTTGTGTATATTTATCTTTGACACTAAGCTTCATAGTTATAAAAGTGTCTTCCTTGTATGAAGAGCAGGTTCTGTCTAAATAATCATTTGGTAGTTTTATGGTCAGTTATTGCAAAAACAACAAAGAAAAACTTGACAGGTGGTGTAAATACTGCCCATCAGTAACAGTGGCTGAAAGCCTAGATGGGAAGGGGAGAGGAGGCGGTACTATAGGCACTAAAGGGAAAATGGAAGCATCGTCCAGACAGGCAGACACCGGACACTCTTCAGGTCGATTGGTTAATGGACGTTCAGTCTGCTTCGTGCCTGGAGGGGGGCGACAGAACGATAGGTGATGCTTATTGACTGAGTTTCAGGTCCTCCACTCAGATTGTGTGGGATTGTATTTCCTTGATCTCTGACCGGACGGTCTGCTCATGTCTCTGCTGACCAGCATTCTCTCTCCCTCTGAGCAGTACTGTCTAATTTAATGCAGCTAGAGCGCTACAGTCTTTTATAATTGTCTCTAAATGAGTCTTGGTGCATGGCTTAAAGCGATAGTTTGGCAGAAAAGTCTAGTTTACACACTTTCCCTCTTTTTCTCCAAATTTCAGGGCAGTTCATTTTAGTTCACAAACAATAATAAAATAAATAAAAGCCTCATAAAAAAAAACACCGAACAGTGAGACACAGTGCAAATACAAAAATTCAGTTCATTGATTGTGTTTGTGTTTCAATGCTATTGTTTACTATGTTATTTATTTGAAAAAAATATACCAGCCACATGCTAATCCTTTAAACTGTACATGACCTTCATTTGCAAAGATGCTGAGCATATTTAACAATGCAAAAGATTGATAAATATGAGCAAAACAAGGTTTAAGCAACTAAAACATGTCATACCCAAAACTGAGTCTAATTCAAAATGAAATCAAATACAACACTCGACTAAGAGGTCTAATGATACAATAAGAAATGGATAAAGCTGCTTAGTCTTTACAATGGTAAGTTGAGAATTGAGAAAATTGAGAAAAGAAAATCATGATTATTTGTATTTAAGACATGCTGGGTTCACCCAAACGTTTATAGCAGACAGTGTATATTCACTGTAAATCTGTAATGGAAGCTCAGCCTGTGAAAAAATAGTGTACCTCTGTTAACAGTCAGCATTTCCTGAACAGCTTTTGCTGTACAAAACAAATAAATGTATATATTTTTATGTAGGCTGCCAAAAATGAATAAATATAAATACAATTCCTGAAAAAGTTCCTCATAGTGATGCAGGTTTGTTGTGACAGTAGTCATTGTGATTAATGACAACCAAACGTAACGTTGAGCTAATAGTTAAGGATGGAGTAGTTTTTGAGATTTGCACGTGTCCATTTTATTAAGTGGCCAAATGGTTGAGTTACCTGTTTCCACACGTTCAGGCACAGCGGAAAAACACTTTTCCCACCAACATTCCCACTAATCTAGTCACTTGGTGAGGTGTGAGGTCATTTGATCCGTTCTGTTATCGTAGCTCCGTAATTAATTTTAACAGTTAGCACAGAACTGTAGGATGGCTGCTAATGTTTTTAGCCATGCTAATGTACTTTAGTCCAAGCTTATAGGTAACAGTCTAAAGTCTAAAGCCCTGTTCATTGTGATTATTTGGATAGGATTCCATGAGGAGGTGGATAATGCTAGTTCACCACAGCACTACCATAATGTTTATGGTATGATGATATGAGTGATTTGCACAGAATAAGAATATAAATGACAGAGATGGGAGCGGCTACTCAATTTACACACCATTTTTAGTCCAGAAAAGGGTAAAAAAAAACATGTCAAAACAGTTAATTTAGCCATTATTTTGGTTAATTTAATAATTTACCTTGCTGAAGTGAATGCAGTGCGTCATTAGCATCGAGATTAGCTTGAGAATCCACAGCAAACAGTCAACTTCGCCACATAAAATCAACCTTTTTTCTGTAATTTGACATATTCTGAGTTTTACACGTGAGGTGGGAAAGTAATGTTACATATTGGCTTGATTTTAGCCACAGAGAACACAAGTAAACGCTTCTTTGGTCCTCCTTACTTAAGAAACTCCTTCTCTACAGGATATGATACCACCGACATGTTGATTTACATTAACCCACCTCCTCATGTAAAATCATGTCGAATAGGGGTAAAAAGGTTCAGAAATGACATGATCAAGTCTATTAGAAATTACTGAACCCATCCGTAGCCGGGAGTCCAAGAGAGCACAATTGGCCTCGCTCTCTCTGGGTGGGTAGGATGGCCCCTCCCTCTCCCCCCATCACCCAACGCGATGCTAGTCAGCGCAGGCGTCTGTTAGCTGACGTAACAGATCTGGCGGTTGGCGCTTTCCTCCGAGCGCGTTCGGCTGTCCAGTGACGTTGCGTGAGCGGCAGTTCGAGAAGAAGCGGTGGCGCTTCACAGGTCTCGGAGGAAGCCTGTGTTAGCCTTCACTCTCCTAGCGTTGATAGCATCGTGTGATTGGGGGAGTCCTAACTAGCGGGTGGAATTGGAGACGATTGGGGAGAAAATCGGGTAAAAGAAATTACTGAACAACTCCACACAGTGTGAGGCATTTAGGCATGCAGTTAGCACCATGCTAACTGGTGAGTTTAATACTTGTTAGCTACATTAGCCTCGTAGCTCCAGAACTGAAACTAAGCTAGCAAACTTCAGACACCAAACATGTCTTGGCTGATTGACTACATTTGGAGTAAGAGGGGGTGTAACTGAGTAAATTTGACTTTTTTTGGCCAAACGTTTGCCTTTAGCATTTGTGAATGTGTAAAGTTATAAATGCTATGCTGCTTCTGAGGGCAAAATAAGAGTTCCTTCCTGCCTAACACGTGCACTAGCAGCTGAAAAAGGATCTGTATGTATTTAATGTGATCAGTATTTTGTTTCACATCATCGCTTCATGATCCATATTTGTGAAAGCAATTACTTTGTTTGTTATTGAGATTAAAAATGTGTTCAAACTGTAAAGCAGGATTATTTTACTGTACGTCCACCCAAAATGAACCTCTATGCCGATTAGAGCTGGCGCAGACTCAGCGTCGAGTTGTCTGCTCCAGGCAGGATCAGGTTTCTGCAGCCTGATGAAGGAGGAGGTCATCAGATTCCTCCTGCCTTTGGCTTTAAACCAGGAAGTCTCTAACAGATTCACTGCCATTTTAATGGGATTCCAGTCTTGGAATATTTGTGTCCTTAAATATTTCGAATCAAGAAGTTGTTATGAAGAATATTATGGAACTGTTCACCGTATTTAACTTACAGTCTTATGCAAAAGTTTCTGGACCCGCTGGTCAAATGACTTGTTTTGGAAGTTACGTTCTCTACAGGAAATTTTAAATTCATATCATGCAAAATCAAATTTTCCTTGTGCTTTTGGAATATGGGTTTATTTTACTGTTTAAACACTGTTAAAGTTTCAAAACGTTGACTTTACAGTAGTTTAGCTCCACCCACTCACACTGAAGTTATAAGGTGTGGTTCAGACCAGAATATTCTACTTCTTTTTGGTGCATAAAACCATAACCATAAGAGGAATTCCGGTTTTAAAAAAATGCAAGCAATATGTAGGATATGGACCCTTTAACGCAGTTATTTATTTGCTGGATTTAATACCCAGGAATAAAATTAAAACATAAATGTCACATGCAAATTGTGGAAACAATCAAACATCATCTTGAATCATCTCAAAACAAGCAACATATGATATAATCTGAATTATTTCACTACACATTAGAGTTTTGCAGGAGGGAGTTTGTTGTGGGTTAATTAGTGATCTTACTGTCCGTTATCTTCTGATAAATCATGTTTATTTTTGCCTCTGAAGCTTCGGGCCTGTAGCTGTAACACTGCAGAGCTCTGGAGCTGCTCCCACAGATCCGTCTGCATTATTAATGAGGAAAGAGCCTCTTAATGACTTTCTGTAAAGACACTATAAACCAGCAGCTCTAAACGTCCCACACACGCTGACTTCTTTGCATCTGTGATATTGCTTTACAGAAATGTTCTGTTGTAATGTTTGTCTTTATGGCTGTTTTATACGTTATTTCTTCTGTTCTCATCTTAAACATTCCGTGTTGAATTTTTAGGTCTGAAAAATGTCACTTTTATAAGCTACATGCGGGAATAAAAACACAGCCTGAAACATGTTGGAGTGGATTCATTTCAGAATATTCCGAAGGTGCTTACAGTTCAATTTTTAAATTTTTTGGTTGAAGTTTTTTTAACTAATTGCTGACGTTAGGTAGAATATTAGGTAACACTGTTTGTCACAGTCCCTTAAGTACTAGATAATAACTAGATAAGTGTGAGCGACAAACTTAAAAGTACTAGATAATGGTTGTGTAACATAAGCTCTAAGTTGGGCTGAACGATTTGGGGAAAATATCTAACTGCATTTTTTCTGACCAAAATAGCGGCTGTGATTTAAAATATGATTCTTTTCTAAAAAAAATTGAAGTTCAGGCCTGTTTTTTGGCCAAGAAGACCAAAACATCCACTTCTTCTGGCCTGAGGCTTGATCCCTGAATGTAGACTGCCGTAAGTTATGGTTGTGATGTCACAACACATGGAGGTTTGGTTGCCTCTGATTGGTCTAACTCATCTACAGCCTGTTCACAAGCTCTGTTATTAGGTGAAATTTCCCGACTGAAAATGTGATGTCTTTGATTATGTAGGCTATCAATTTTTAATAATTACAGCTCTTGTGATTTGAAAATTGCACTGTGCTAAATTGCGGTTTTGATATAAAATCGATTCATCTTTCAGTGTGGGCTCCAAGAAAGTTTAACCAAGCAAATTACGCAAAACATGTTGACTGGCTGTTTGTAAATAAAGTTCTGAAAGGACTGCTGGGTTTGCACAGCTGGTACAGATGGTACAGTGGTACAGTGTTTTAGAGAGTAACTCCGAAGCAAAGAAATGAGTAGTGAGATTAACTGTACAGGAAGGAGAATTCACACAAACGACCACCTTTATTTCTCAGACATTTGCATTTATGATAATGGTTGTTACTGTTAGAATTATTAGTTGAACTACTGAAACTTAAGAAATGATGACTGTAATTTTACAGATTTTTACCATCATTGAGAAAACATACTTTACTGTTAATTAACGGGTTTTGTCTGGCACTTCTGCTGCCGGACCTTTTACTGTTATACTTGTTTCTGATTTCTAATAGTATATTAGTGCTAAGCTAATGCTAGCACACATGAACATTTTCTGTGTGTATCAGTGTTACAGTGACTTTCAGTAAAGTTCTGACATAGGAATGGAAAACAGTGGCGGCAGCTCTAACAACTATCCGGAACCTGCTTAGACTACGGCTTGTATTCACAGTCAATGACGTATCTAGAACTTCCAGAATGACTAGAGTGAATTTTTTTTCTTCTGTTAATATTGGCTCCACACAAAGTGTGATTGGTTGATTCCTCCATCACTTTCTAAATATGTTTCTAAGCATGTAAGGCCTTCTGTCCAGCTCCTGAAGTCCTAACCAATGGGAGAGCAGCTCAGCTGTACCTACAGAGGTATGACAGAGAAAACAATGACTGGACAATTTTACGCTGATGAAAAATTTAGGAATGAAACCACTGTGCATTCAAATTTTAAATGAAACCAATATGATGATTCTATAAAATACTCAAAAAACAGCAAATGCAGTGGTGTGATGTTTGCTTTTGCTCAAAGAAAGGAAGCGCTCCACAAACCTGCTGTTAAATCGTGTTTATTGTGTATTTTTAGTGTTTTTGGATGTTGCCCAGAGCCAGTGTTTAAACAGAGCACATTCAGGTCATTCATTCATTCAGTCAGAGCTTTCCAAACATTCAGTTTTAGAGTGTATAAAACACAGCGAAACAGAACAAACATTATCAAAGAAATCAAGTGTGCCTTTCCTCCATTCCAGCCTGTAACCCTGGTTCCCTGAGCCCACGCTCAGACTAAATCTTCATTATTTCTCAGACTCGGTGCCAGGAAGCTCATAATGAGTCTCACAGCATGACATAAGAGGAGATTAATGTTGTACAGAAAACTGGAGCCGGAGTGAATTTTATCTGATTATGTAGCTGCATATCTGTTACACTGCTAATCCGACATCATAAGCATTTTAGTGAATCTTATAAAACCGCTGCTTGATTCTTTCTCTGGCTTTGCTGATGCTGCCATTTGGCAGCCGTAACTCATTGCGCAATGCCTTTGCGTCAGTTAATGGCAGCATAAAGTGTTTTCCTACAAATCCCTCATCTTCTGTCTGATCTTGGTGAGGTTGTGACTGCCGCCCTGCTTACAAATATGGTGCGTCTCAAATCGAACCCTTGTTCCCCACATAGTGGACTGCTGTTTAGGGAACTTAAGGGATTAGATTTAACTGGAGCTTTTGAACACTCTGGCCTGGTGAACAGTGCAACCTGTGTGAGGTCTAGAACAGACAGACCACATAGTTCTACCTCTGCAAGTTCTAAGATAGCCTGGTCAAGAGATTTCTAGAATGGCCTTACCAACAGAGTTTCAAGTATGATCTGGTCAACAAAGTTCTAGAATGACCCTTTAAAAGACTTGTAGAATGGCCTGGCCAGCAAAGTTCTAGAAACAGATCTCTAGATTTCTTTCTAAACACTTATAGAATTGCCTGGTCAACAGAGTTCCAAGTACAACCTGTATGACCTGGTCAACAGATTTCTAGAATGACCCTTTAAAAGAGTTCTAGAATTGCCTGGCCAACAAGTTCCATAAACAGATCTCTAGATCTCTTTTTAAACAGTTCTAGAATGGCCAAGGCAACAGAGTTTA